TGTTCATTGTCGAGAGCGCCAGTAAAGAATTGCGACCATGCATAGACTACTGCAAACTCAACGCGATAACTAAGACAAAAGTGTTCCCCCTCCGAATGTTGAAGCACTGCTTGAAGAAATGTCGGCGGCGCGGTACAAGTCATTGCTAGACCTTGTGCGAGGTTATCGGCAAGTGCTTCTCACGGAGAACGCTAGTAAGCTGGCAGCTTTCATTACCCCTCTCGGAACGTTCCACCTGCGTGTCCCTTCTTTTGAACTGAAGAATGCGTCCTTTGTTTTTTCCAAGCTAAAAAGCTCAAGGGTGCCGAGTCTTTCGCAGTTCCCTACCTCGATGACGAGGCTATTTTTTTTAGTAACTGGGAGCAGCACTTACAGCATGTACGAGAAGTGTTTGCTAGGATACAGAAAGCGGGATTAACTCTGAAAATGGCCAAATGTCATCTCGCCAATGCTGAGGTTCAGTATTTGGGTGATGTTGTGGGCCAAGGGAAACAACAACCGTCCGAAATAAAAGTTATGGCCTTAAAGAATTTTCCTTTGCCGGAAACAAAGACAAACTTGTGTTCTTTCATCGGTTTAGCCCAACTATTACCGAAATCACATTTCTAATTTTGCGCATGTCGCGATCCCACTCGCAGACGCTCTTCACGAGGCAGAGCCAAATGTTGTGCGCCAGACCGAGGAACGTAAGAACGCCTTTCTTAGGATCAAGGAGCTTTTAGCGAGCGATCCTGCGCTCGCTTCACCGGACCACATGTGCACCTTCATAGTGCGGTGTGATGCGAGCGACCGTGGTTTGGGCGAAGTCCTCAGTCAGGTGAACGAGAAGGACGAGGAACATCCCGTTGTATGCGCCAGCAGAAAACCAACAACACGTGAACGGGCATAAAAAAGTCAAATTTGGGGGTTTTACGTGCCAAACCTACGACGGGCATCTGGCACGCCCCAGCGGAGGACTGAGGATTAATTTCGACCACCTGGAGATCTTTTGACGTGCAACCGAAAGCTCGGTTACACGGCGCCTTCTCCGCAATAAGCCTCCGTCAGATTGCGGGCACCTTGGTCGGGATTCGAACCTGCCACCTGGGGATCCGTAGGCCGGCGCTCTCGCCTCGGAGCCACCAAGGCGGCTACGTGAACGGGCATACAGCACAGTAGAAAAAGGGTGTGCTTGTACAGCATGGGCTATCGAAAAACTCTCAAGCTATCTGAAAGGATCTTCGTTTATTTTCGAGACTGACCACTACCCTCTCGTTGTGGCTAAATCAGATGTCAAACAAAAATGGTTGTTTAATGAGGTGGAGTTTGGCACTCCAGCAATTTACTTTCACGGTGCGGCACAAGGCAAAGATCATGCCAATGCCGATCGCCTGAGCCGCATTCCTTAGTGCTCCTGTTATGAGAGAAAGTCCCCACAGAATATATATATAGCGTAATATCCCGAGTCATCGCCCACCCCCCTACCGCCTGAAATTCATTAAAAAAGTGGGGTGGGCCATGTCTCGGTGGGTGAGCACAAACACTTGAAAAAAGCGGAAAAAAACGCCTATTTTTCTCTGCGTATCTAGCGCTGATGCAGGAGATACATCAAACTCAAAACTCGATTTAGTTTCATTGTTTTATAGAAAAAAAATGTTCACGAAAGAATATTTTACTATAGCGAAGTCCGTTGCTTGCATACGCGCTAGAAACACCGCCGGTCTGCATATAGCGCGGCCGTTTGTTCCGTGAAAGAATGTCACCACTATGTTCTCCTAGTTAGTAAAAAAAAAAAAAAAGAAAGAAAAGTTTACAAGAAAATAGAAAAACCGACCAGGCGCAACGAGCGAGCGAGCGGACCAAAGAAGCGACCAGGGTTACCAGATTGGGCTATTAATAGCCAAATTGGGCTACTTCTTTTTTTATTTGGCGTCAAAATGTGGCGGTTGGCTATGTGGCTATTTTTGGGCTATTTCATATCATGACGGAGAAAAATAATTCAACATGACAAACATTGAGACTGCGGGCAATATAAGGGGACACGAAGACACAGAGGTCTCTATTATTTATTTTTCTTGTGCTTGCTTTAGGGTAGAGAGATAAAAGACACTTTAGGATGGACACAAATCAACAGTCCATTTTTTACGGATTCCTGCTTTCAGGGTTTTCTGTGAAGATGCATAGGCATGACGTCAGGACCTAGATTCAGTTCTAATGGCATCGCTTCTGTATTCATTGTCGCTTATCTTATGCCTCCAAGTTCACACAAAGAAGGACCTTGCCCCTGCATCCTCCTCCCTGACCTTTCTTTTCATCACCCTACCATTTCCTAGGAAAAAGGTGGATTGGGAGGCTACATCTAGGTCAAAGCCGTGCAAGGGCAACTCTTCGATATTGATGAAACGAGTAATCATGCCGAATTACGCATCACCCGAATGCGCGGACTGGGAAACGAATGTGCTTCATGTACGTGCATGTGGCTTCGGAAGTGTTTTTTCTGAATACTCTTGAACAGTCCTCGCTTTGCGAGAAGGACAGAATTGCGCTCTTGGAAGTATGTCGGAGGTTTGTGATTGCGTGTATCAAAAGTGTGATGAAACGCCTCCCTGCGAACATGTAGCTTCTCAACGATTTGTTGTTTCTCAAGCATGGCAGCATCACACAGTTTTCTTTTGACAGTTTTTACAAAGCGTTTTCGCCTTTTATACAGACTTCGGTGATCTCGGCCATGGAGTCCGAGTACAGGCTTCTCCAGACGAATATCAGAGATCTGTCTGATGATTGTTTAGAGCTATCTTGGAAAAATGTAAGGGAGGCAAGAAACAGCTCCGGGGCAGCCATGTTCCCATTGTTCTCTGCGCTTGGCACCGCGCTTTTGACACTACCCTTGTCAAATGCCGCCGTTGAGAGGGTGCTTAGTTAGGTGTCCCTCACGAAGTCGGACCTCAGAAACAGAATGTCCCATTCGACCCTGGAAAGCATCCTGTTTGTGAAGTTCGCATTCCTTGGGAAGAAAGAGTGCTGCAAGGACTTCAAGCCCACAGAAGAATTTTTTGTGCGCTTCAACTCGTAACTGATGTATGAGGTCAGCCAGCCCTGCACGAGCGATTGTTAACTCTATGTGACTGTACAAACGTGTGTCAATACTTAAAAATGCCGATACTTTTTTGTGTGCGTTTTTCCAATAAAATGTCTCATATACATTTCAAGATGTTGCTGTTCTTATAAAGCTTCTTCTACACAATATATGCAGATGCAGTTCCGGCTCCAGTTCCTACTTGCGAGAGCATAATTTTGAATTTTGTGGACCCTGACACTCAGCTGGATTTTGGCTACTTTTTGGCTATACAAATTTTTTGCATTTGGCTACTTTTGGGCTACACCGTTTGGCATTTTGGCGGTTTGAGCTAAACCTACCTGGCAACCCTGGAAGCGACCAAGAGCAATGCTGGGAAAGCGGGAAAGCCGGCGGTCGCGTTGGCAAATACTTTGGCGTCGGGCCAAGTCGGGCGCCTTGTCAATTGCAAGCTCTTGCGCAACTTTCTTGTTTCGTGGGTACATACGTGCATCCGTGCACGGCGGGCTATCAATGCACGGTTGGGACGCTCTACAAACGTCTGTGTAGGGCGTTCCAGCAAAGCTTTATTTACGCGTTGGCTTTGCCTAAAATATTGCACAACCGCGGTCGCGACGGGCGGGAAGAAGGAGCGGGTTCGCGGTGACCTTACTTCGGGGGAGACAGACTTTGACCTAACACTCTGCGGTTACATTAACAAACTCTTATTTTGTTATCTCCATCGTTTTCTTTTCGCACGGATACACGACCACTTTGGGGTCGCTCACGGAGGAAATGCGTAAACAAAAAAAAGTGTCTTTCCCTCCTTCGTTTTACTTTGTCACCGACGTCCTCCAACTGTAAGGTCCGCGGCCGCGTCATTCGGGTAGGATGAGTGTTCGCGGATCGCAGAGTCCGCGCTGGGGTATTTGAAGGGGTGGGCGATGACTCGTTGTTTTTTCGGAAATCGATATTGGCCCAAAAAATGGGGTGGGCGATGGCTCGGGGATGGGCGATGACTCGGGATATTACGGTATATATTGTTTTTAATATGCATTATTTTCACTTTGGTGATTTCGCTATGTTGAGGCTTATGGCTGCACTTAAATCTGTCGGTAAGTTTTGTTGCATTATTTTGCTCCTAATGATTTCAGGGGATCTGGCCTTGCTGAATTCTGGCACCAGATTGCTTCCGATGTCGTTTATGCCGCTCGCCCGCCGAGTCATTTCAGCACCTTGGCTTGCTGCTATCGTGCCCGAGGTGCAGACCGCACAGGTGCTTGAGACCTTTCCACCTCCCTCCTTTGTTCACCCCCCTGTCCTGACAGTATGGAGCTTCTGGAGCAGAGCAGCTTCCTGCCGTGCTTCAGCACCCTGGCCCAGTTGACAAAGTGTATAGAGCTGAAGATGCTTACATTAACGAGAAAGGCTGTCAGTGCGACGACGCGTCACCGCCATCTATTTGTGGCTCGTTCAGAGTGGATTCAAAATCCTGATGGCACTTTCTGGTTGCCAGACTTCCAGCGGTTCTGGCAAGATTGGCGGCTCCAAACTCCTTGTCGACGGTAGTGCCGCACGTGGTTCCGTACCAAGCCCTCCCATGGTCTTCCGGAAACGTTTAGTAGTGACCAGCAGCATATTGAAGGAATCTGCTAAAACATAGGAGCTTGTAGCCAGAAGATTTGTTTCTGCCGAGACTGGCTGATCTGCAGAATAACAGTGGACTACTTCCCAACCGGACAGCTTTAGAAGCTTAAAATAGGACTTTCTTTATCTTTTGCACTCAAATCGGGACACAAAATGAAAACCGACCCATGTAATGGCAATCACTGACTGTCAAAGTTTTATGCCAAGCACTGTTCGTCGAAAGTCTCCAAATTGTTTCATGGTCCCTATGACTGTCATAAAGCAGGCAGCCATTTGGGAAGGCAAGGAGATAACCTTTGCGGATAACCTAACAAGGTACCTTTGGCTGTGTTGCTCGAGGAGAACTTCCTGTTTCCGCAAACTCTCCTGGCGATCCGATTTCACTTGTTCTTCAAGCTGAGACAAGAAAGAGGTGGGGTGTTAACGTCTCGTAGCCTTAATAAATTAAAAGCAACGCGCAAAAAGACAGGGACAAAGAAAGGAGCACACGGGAAGAGCGCTGAACTATCGAGCGAACATTTATTGAAAGAACTGCTCGAACAAGAGACCACCGTAGAATCAAACAACACTGTACATTGACGACATGCTGCTCACCAGGCATCGATAAAATCCCTCTTTTCTATGAAGGTAAATTGACGGCTGGCTTACGCAGTGCCTCGCGCCTGCTTTTTCTATTGCGCCAATGATTAAGGTGTCTTTAAAAATGAGGTGACACAGGCAATATCTATAGTGCACATACAAGTGACCTCCGGTCATGCAAAGCAAGGGCATGCTCACGCATTCTTTCATTAACACATTGTCCTGACTGCCCTGTATAAACTCAGTCACATGGCAACAAGATTTTGTATATGACGCCCATTGCGCAGTCCACAAACTTCTTTGCGTGTTTGACAATGCATGAAAGCCCGTTGCCGTTTTCCCGATTTGCCTGATTTATGCGCGGGCATAATTGTGCTCACTTGCAAGACGCCGAGAACACCCACGGCGCATCAAAACAGTTTTCTACTTTTTTTAGATTGTGTGATTTCTTATGCAAGTATGGAATCACTTGGTGTCTTTGTCTAGGCTTTTCTTTTAGGTCCCGACATCAACTTTTTCAGGAGAGTTTGAGACACTCCGAGCAAAACTGACATTGGAACCCCCTCCCCTCTCTTGAAGTCGCATGGCCTGCGTTTGAAAGCTGTCAAGCACGACATGATGGCAAGACCCTTGCAGTGCTGCCTGGAGACAGGGCCATGGCAATATTTCTTTTCGCTAGTTTAGAATGTGCAGAGTCGTATGGGAAGATTTCCTTCTTAGATCGGGGGCTGTAGAACCAACACACGTGATGTCCGGTAGGTTGTAGCCGCAAATCCAAAAACGGCATGTAGTGACCGTCTTGAAGTTTGTGGGTAAACTTTAAGCCTGTGGAGACGCCCTTGTAACGTCCATAACATTCTCTACAGCTTCCCTCTTTCTCTCCTCTGTTTCCGAAAGCAAGAAATCGTAAAGACTGAAAATATGCCGTGCCCCAGGGATTTCGGAAACCGTAAAATCAGCCCAGAAAATGGTGACCTGCAAAATATTTTTCAGTTAGGCTGTAAATCGTTCTGACTGCTGCCGTTTGAAAAGAATGAAAGAGGCTGGGCAGGAAAGCGTAGGGGAAGACAAAAGAGCTACCACAAAAAGCACACTGACAAAGTAATATTTTATGCTCGCTGGGATGTTCACTAAGACACTGTCTACGAGGATGCAACTGCCCTCCAAAAATATTGAAAACTCAAAATATAATTTTGTTTTCTGCACCATGAAAACTTGAAAGTACAAAACAGCGAGAACAAGGACGGGAACAGGACATCTTTTCTTGAAAGATGTCCTGCTCCCGTCCTCGTCCTTGCTGTTTTATACTTTAAAGTCTTTGTATCTATCAACCAACACGCTCGTTTTCGATTGTCACAAAAGTCACCAGTTGAGAACTAGGCTTCTGCCGCCCTCACCCTTTGTTTTAAGACCATGAGCAGTGATGGAAGAGTGCAGAAAATATTTCTGAAGTTCTGGCCTACCTAAGGCAGAAATTCACTTTTAAAGTAATAGTATACATGAAAGTTTGAGCGCACAATCACAGAGGCCGCACACTGCGATGTCACGGAGCAACACGCTCATCTTCCAGTTTCACTGTGGTGTTGTTTTTTCTTCTCAGCGAACACAGAACTCTATGGTGTGGAAAAACTTTGACAATGTCTTAACCTGTCTCTAACCTAACCTAACCTAACCTAACATTTCAAACAAAAAAAAAAAAAAAGAAAGAAAGAATTGAACTATCTTTTTTTATGTGTTAGTGTTTCTTCAAGGTAAGTGTAACAAGATGGCAGCCTCCTCTAGGTCTTACCTGAGCAACCTTCTGCGTCAAAAAGTTCAGCCGAGTCCTGTACTCGGGAAGCAGACGACGCAGCGTTCTCAAGAGATGTTGGCTTGGCTCGTCGGCAAGGAACTTCGCCTCCAGTAGGCACAAGATCCTTTCAATCTCATCTTCCTGCAAGCAAATCACCTCGTTCACCAGACCCTTTTCAAAATTCAGTCTGGCCACTTTGATCACCATCATGATCCGAGAAATGGCATCTGTGCCTTACTAATGGCAATCTCTTGGTTACTGATGAAGCAAGACTTTGAAGATGCTTTTAAACAGATGATGCCAAGTCCATAGACTTGAAACTTTAGTACAGTGTGGCACATGAAATAAATACATGAGCTGTGCAAGCGTTAATTTCTAAATTGGGTCCAGTCAATCCGTTTGAGGCATACGATCAGCTCTGATGCCCCTTTACGCTTAAAATTTTATAAAAGTGTATACCAGAATATTTTGAGAAATAGCCCACCTAAAATTCAGAGAAAAAAAATTAACAGGGTCTCTTATATAACCCCACGATGCCTTGAAGGCAAAAAACCAAATGCCGAAGCATTAAAGGCAGACGCATCATTTACGGATGTGGCAGTACCCCTCCGCCGTGGCAGAGGAGTACCGCGTCGGACTACCGAGCAAAAGCTCGCTGGTTCGGCGCCAGTTGAGGAACAAGGGTGAAAGTGTTTTTGGAGGAATATTAAAATTTGCAGATGTCACGTAAACGCCTTGGTACCCTTAAAATGAATGCAAAGGTGCAAACAAGCTGGTGTACATTAAACATGATTCAAAAACCCCGAGACTGCAGAAACCCGAGACTTTGAGTGTGTGTGTGTGTACCAACATGGTGTACCAAACATGACTTTGAGTGTGTGTGTACCAAACATGATTCAGAAACCCCAAGACCTGCGGTCTTGGGGTTTCTGAATCATGTTTGGTACCTTTCGTTTCGCCGATGTGTTTTTGCCCAATAACTTTGAAGGTCGACTGAACGATGAGACATACAAGTCTTTCGCCTTAATAAGAAGAGGGCTAATTTTTTATGCAATCAAAAAAAGTTGAAAAAATGCTATTTTTTGATTATGTGATCTGCCAAATTTGGCACCTCAGCAAGGGGCAATGAAGCAAACACCAATGTCCTTTTCAGTCGGCAATATTCCCTTAGTTCCCGCCCTAGCTAACTAACCCCCTTTTTGCGGATGTCACCCTTGGCCAGGAAGCTGCACTTACTGAAACAGGGTTACCTTTCAGTGTTTTTGAAGAAATATAAGTTCATGCCAGAAATAGAGATGGGTTATCTTTCAGGGGAGGGGCATCTACCGGGCTATTACGGTACATGGGCTGGCACTTCGTTCTCACCAGTTCTATATTTTTCACCATCGAAACTGAAAGAGATTCAAAAAGAACTGTCCAGTCTCGATTGCCGCTGACTTGTGAAAGTGACGGTGCCCAATATAATGCTAGATGTTCATTACCGCCATTATATGGCAAAGGTCAAACTGCTATTCGAGTCACTACGTATCACTCAATTTCGGAAAGGGTCTCTCGGTTAATAAAATTCTGAAGTGGCAAGCTATCCCGAGCATTTCTGGAGGAAGGTTTCTGTAGCAAGTATCCACACGATGTAATGTTTCAGCACAGACCTGTAAAACTACGAAGGCACATTTCTGCCTGTGGTCATTGACGAGACAAGGGAGAGGCACCTCTCTCTCGGATGCCCCATCACCGGCATGCACCGGCTGCCTTCCGACGTGCTCTGTCTGCATGTGCGTGCCCAAAGGTCACGAGTGCCAAAGTGTTATCAAAGGTAGGAGGCTCGCACCGGAGGAGGGAATCCCGAGGACCCCTTGCTGCTCCCATCTTGTCAATGACCGTAGCGTTTTTGCCCGTCAGTTTGTTGTTCTCATCCTGATGTGCACATTGGCAGTTATTGGAGAGGTTTAGAATAGGGGGCCACAACACCTTGGGTCCGCCAAGCAACTTGAGGCATCGCACTGCACATGAACAGACGTTCCACACTTTCGCGGTGCAATGCCTCAAGTCGCCCGGAGGGACGCACACGCGGTGCAACTCGCCTCACTATTTAGCCAAACTTAAATTTTCAACTCGGGTACCAGTAAACGATAGCACCAGTGAGCAGTGAAAATAGGATTGAATCCCAGAACATAATATTCAAGCACTATAAAGTTCCCTACAAGTTTTAATGCATGTTTATTGAAAAAAATTAGGCGCCACCCTCTTGCTTTGATATCACATTTGAAGTCAACGTAATTTACGTTTCAAACTCAAATCTTGTATAACTTAAGTTGTTCTTGGCTAATCTATAATCTATTCAGTGGCGTCACAAAGGCACTTTGGCGTGCCAAGGAAGCTTTGAACACGCCACGAGACCTGTGAAACTTGCTTTCAACGAGTTGTGCCTTTTTCTTGTGGCACTGCGCTTTCGTAAAAATTCCCCTGTGTTCTCAACGGCAAGTATCACACCTCACACAGGATGTTAAAGGGGCACTGACACCCAAAGGTTGTATTTATTTTTTATTGTCTAAAACGATGCACGTTACAGTCGTAGACACACCAAAAAAAGAATGCATAGCAAAAAAAAAAAGACTTTCTTACGCGCGTGCGCCTTTTTATTTTTGCAGTTTTTCTCTCCCGCCCTCACCTCCTCGCTTCTTTTGATTTCTGACGTCAAAAATCATGAAATTTAGAAGCTTTGTAGGCGACATTTCTATAACGTTTAATAACGGCTATTGTAAAACATCTTGTAAACCCTGAGATGGGTTTACAACGATTTTGTTGTGTTCGTCCGTTTTTTTATCGTTCCCCATCTCAGGGTTTACAAAATGTCGATTGATTACCAGCTCGCCTGCACTCTCTCACTGCTTACAATTGTAAAACATGTTTTTAACACAATTGCGAACTCACTACAGCCCTTCTTTTTTAAATACCAAAAATCGGAGCTCGTTGTGATGCTGCCTCCTAAATTTTTATCCTCCCCCGGAAAACATGGTGGCGCTCGACGCACATAGCAGAGGGTGATCGGTGAGTCGGGGAATCGAACGAAGCGATCTTTTTTAGATGCCCGACTTCTAAAAGGAAATCATCAAACAGTCAAAACAACTGGGTTTGGTGTCTATGTATCATAGTTTCGGTTGGGACACCGCCGGGGCACCGTCGTCTGCTCGAAGTGATAGGCAGCACGGCACTCACGCAGGAAACCGGTTCCCCGGTACGGTAGTTTCCGCAATGCCGGCGCCCTTTTCTCCCGCTCCTCACCTCCTCGCTTCGGGTCGTGAAGACACGTTTCGAAGCGGAGGCGTGAAAGAAACTCAACTTGCAGGAGCCCTCAAAATTTGACGTCACTCCAGTGCCGCAGATAGCGCGGGAACTTCAAATTCGGCATTTGGAAATTGTTTTCTTACTTCACAAATACTAAATTTTCAAGTTTCGAATCTTGAGGGTAAGAGGGTAATGTCCAGGCATCGTTTTCAATTGTTTCAAACAATAAAAAAAAAAGAGTTTGATATGTCAGTGCCCCTTTAAAGAATGTCTTCGGCAAATGACGACGAACGAGTAGAAATTGTGTCTTTAGCACGCTGCCGCCAACCCCTGCAACGCTAGCAAAACGAGAAAAAACGGCATGCAAGATGGCCGTCCAGTGGCCGCACTCGCAGAGCGGGGATGCGCGATCGAGCAATTGTCATTGAGATTAATGGTCTTGCTTTAGAATGTCCGACCTGTCTCACCACACTGGTCCTAAATCATCTGCGTTTACGAGCGTCCATTGCGAGGGGGCGACCTTTTTCTGTTTAGTAGCTCCATTTTTGCACGAACTCTTCACTAAAGTAGCTAAATAGTGACTGCAAAAACGAAACCATGTCGGTGTCTCATGGTTACGCTAGTCACTCCATCGAAAGGGATGGACGACGACGAGGATAAAGGGTCCTGGGTGGGACAGAGTCGGACGACTTGTCTAGAACTTTGAAAAAAGTCACGCAGTGGTCCATCGTGTTCGGGTTCGTAGAAGACATTGTTTTCCACGTGCCACCGCTGCTACCTGGTAGCTAGAGTATGCGTTCATCGTTAATGAAATATTCCATCCTATTTGTGTTCACAATCACTTCATAATTTGCTACTTATATATATCCAATTTGTTATAATGCATTAAATAAGATATATTTATATATCTGTGATTTTTATTTTTAGTTCGACGTCCGAGGCTACTCCCTGTAGCTGTAAAGGGAGCTTGGCGAGCTCCGTTTAACACAGACCTCCCTAAGCGAAAGGGACCTTTATGCACAGTGTGATTACGATCTCTAGCTCCCTTTGCTACAGGTACCTGTGCCAAAAGTACCTTTGCGCTGCCGTGTGAATTCGGTATTAGGTTAGACCAAGGCGAGATTTGGTTTGCTTTTGCCCGAGGTCGCAGGCACGTTCGAACCTGATAACGCGGATAGACGACATGCTTAGTACCTCGGTGGGTGTGCGGCCCGCTCCAAGTGGCACACTGTCGATTTGCTCTTCGGAGTCGGTTTCGAGCAGCATGAACTCTCCATCGACGCTTGGATACATCAGCCTCCCCGGGGTCGTGCTGAAGTTGAGGACAACGGGGGAACCCGAGTCGGCGGCAGGTCTCGGGCCTTCGGCTTCGTTCGGACTGCTGAGTTGCGGTGACGACTCGCCTGCTCTTAAATCGCTCTCGTCCTCCGTGGAGACCGGATCTTCGCGGTTCGACATGCTGATTGTGTACCTAAATCTCGTGGGAAACACTTCGTCAGTCAGTGTCTCAGGTATATTATGTAGTCACATCGAATCCATTTTCAGCTGCACTGGATGTTGAAACGAACCCTCGAATCTTCAGTGCTCCGCATTTCTTGGCAAGCGCAGACACCAATAGTCCTCCTTGTCACTGCTCCGAAAACGCAGAGAACACAACGAAAATCCTAAAGGATTTTGCACAACAAAATTCCCGAGAAAAAAATTACCAAATCTGCCAACTTGAACATGTTCACTAGCCTAGATTCAAAATTCCTTGCCGGATATTAAGCAAAGGAGAAGTTAGTCTACCTTGCACGGATTTCTCTTCAAAAACAATCGGTTGTGCGTTACGAAGAACATGAAATAAATTTAAACGGGCGAACCGCTCTGCCGACATTTGTTAGAAATAGGCGCCATCCTTCCTCGGTCATTGTTGTCTACCCTGTCGGTGGTGTCGGCTTCAAGGGCTCCAAGCAGACCGAGTCTCGCCAGTTCCAAATAAAAATAAAAATAAAAATAAACTTTTGTTGTAGGACGTTACGCTTAAGACTTAATTTTTATTTAACAGTGAGTGACTGATACGGATACTTTTTTGAACGTTGACAATATCTAGATCTTATTTCAGTAGATGTCGTAGCGAACGTCCAAATCTTGCAAAGATACACTTGTCCATCCATCAAGAAAAGCTAGGCACAGGGCCAAGCAGTTCTGGAATAGGCGTGTTTGTGCGTTTTCGGATCAAGTGAGCGCGTCTGAAGTTTGCGGTGGCGGTCATCACTTCCCACTGTACAGTTACGTTTCGAAATATGTTCGTGATACTCGTTTGTTAGTGGAATATTTAAGGGAAGCAGAACCATGGACGACCTGCCGGTCGATCACGACGTAATCGTCGTCGGAACAGGTATGCACACACACATACGTGAGCTTCGCTCCTACCCTTCGATCAGCCTTCGAATACATGCGAAGTTCCCGTTTCTGTGGCGCACGATCTTTCTACCTACACTCGGTTTTGGTATTCGCTGTTTACTAGCCAGTTCTTGCGGCGACAGGTTGCAGAATTCGAGCTTCGTTGATGACGGCAGAAAGTCTTCATCGTAACGCGGGGTGCGATGTGACACTTCTGCGCGATTGTGCTTCGCGTGGTGTTTTGTTTCACCTCACGTTGGACCACGGTGGACGTTACGAGCCATCGGAGCCGATCTAACACCGTGCGAGTGTCACATGGTGTTCCGGAGGGACGCGGCGAAGCGTGGGGTGCATAGTCACGTGAAAACACAGCGCCGGGTTGACTGGGATGACTCAAGGCATCCGCTGCAGTTCAACTGTAGTAGTTCGTTTGTTGTTAGAGTGAGTAAACAAAAAAAAGTTTAAAAAGAGAAGAAAAAAAAAAGGTTTGATGAAATTTGTAAGCTTTTGTGCACTACCGATTCGAGGGTGTAATGTGAATCTTCAGAATACTCGCCTTTCGCATACGCCGACACCTCACGACAACAAAAGGGTGGCGGGCACTTCGCATGTGCGACGCAGCATTTCGGCATGCCGCGAAGCTGCGTGGCTGTTTGTTGTGCCAAAAGGTACTGCGGAAGCAGTGGAATAAGCTTCCACAAGTTTCTGGCGGGCGCTGACAGAAGCAGAAAATGGATCATATGCATGGGTCGAAAAAAAATGGTCACCTTGCACGGACGACCGATTGTGTGACAAGCCCTCGTTGAAGGTAACTGCAGAGCTTCTGCAATCTTTGTTCCGAGCACTGAGGCACTGATATGCTTAGGGAAACTGTCGTCTGATCCAGACTACCCGGACTTCGTTCCTACGGTGTTTGCACACAAGTTGCCGTTTAGTGTTCCTCCGTTGATCGCTACACTCAGGCGTCGTGGGGTGTACTGCGTCGCGGCAGCTTCGCGGCTCGGACGACTTATAATGCGGCGCCTTGAGCTGTCAAGAGCTCACAGTTTCGTATCGAGCCTGTGACGTAAAAAAGGGCAGTTAAATTTCCGACACGAACGACTCCCGATATATTCGCACGTATAGTGCTCAACCAATTCTTACCAGACTCAAAGTGTTGCAGGCCTTGAGAGATTCATACGTGTGCACCGTGTCGGCCGTAAATTAGCTCGGCGAAAACACCCGGTAGACGTTGGCGCACGTTGTGCGCCATCGAGGTTGGCGGTAACAACTTGGCCGACTTGGCACCGGAGTGCCAACATTCAAGCTCGCAGCATAGGGAACCTTGAAGGCAATGTCATCAATGCATGGTTTCTAGCTATATTGCTGCTGCTTGGGCTCTGGCAGCGAGCGCCAATAGTCGGACGTAACAAATAACAAAATACAACAAAAAAAAAAAAAAAGCCAGAAACACTGCAGCATCTTGGGTTAGCGAATGTACAGCCCGCCTTGCAATGGGGAAAACACGGCGAGAGCAGTCGTTTTTGCCAACACCCCTCCTGAGCATGCGCCACACGTCGGTGTATAGGGTGTTTTCACATGACGTCAATTCTGTTTTTTTCAAACATATTTATCTATTTAGAGGTATTATGTTTCAACCTCTTGAGGAGATGTCGGCATGGTGAGACAAGCTTTTGAGCACTATGTCGTACGAGGAGTCGAATTTTTGGAATGCTCGCCTTTGGCACACACCAGAGAGCTCGTCACTACAAAATGGTGTACGAAATTACGTCGGTGAAAACACTTAATTGAGTATGTGCCAACTGTTTGGCACTTGCGAGTAATCGCGTCACCATCCATCTTTTGCTAATGTTTCCAGGCATGCCGGAGTCCATCGTTGCAGCAGCCATAGCCAGGATCGGTCAACGAGTTCTTCATTTGGACAAGTATGCAGTATTTCATCATTGGAGGGGCTTCTGCAAATCAATGATTGTTCATTTGCACAAAAGAAAAAGTTTCAGTTACTATGGAGAAGGTGGTGCACAATGTCCTTTAAACCAGGGGTCTCCAAACTTTTTGGCTAAGGTGCCTGTCGAAAAATAAATAAGCAAATATAAATAAAGAAAAACTAGATGCATAATCCTAGATAAGCATATGAATACACAACTAAAAGTTAAAGTAAAAATTAAAAAAAAAAAATCTGAGCTGGTTAAAGAAACATATTTTATTTTTAAAATCAGTATTTATGTAATTATGACATTACACAATAATTGGGACCCAGTAAACTCGCCAGGCCTAAATCAAAGTGCATGGGAACTTTGGCAAGTTCGCTTAGGGGAATATGCAACATGTGTGACACGGGACACTAAGCACAATATACATGGAAACACGAGGGAATTTTAACATGCATAGTTACTCAGATGTGAGACAGAGTGATGCTGGGGAGGACAATGGCTAACGGATAATATAAATGAGAGAACACATCACAGTGGCAGCTTTTTCTAGTTTTTTTCTGGTATCTTCGGTTTGCGGTTGGTGTGCAGTCCTGCGGCGTTTATTTGCGCGCTTATTTTTGTGCTTGTAGCAGTGGGCTTGCTGGGAGCGGACTGTGGGCTGGGCTTCAATGGAAGGCCCACGGCCAGCTACGGGACGATCGAAAGACCACCCCTGCTCTAAACTACTGGCTGTGACACAAATAGGGTGTTTTAGTAGATCTCTCCAATTATACCGACAACAATAACCAATACTGCACCAACGCCTTTGCTCACGCATCGTATTGTTGTCGGGAGTTATTGGAGGTAGTGGAATGACCTGCTAACACTCTCTAATGGCTTTCTCTTAATTACTTAGTATAATACCAAACTCTGTAAACCATTTGAAAACAGTCCTAGATTAGTTGCAAGATGCTATTATTTTTAAAATCTGATCTATATTGTTTATTTGCACATGTGCATTATATAAATTTGTCGATAGATAGAAGTAGTGTAAGTTCCCCAGACACTAAGTGTGAGGATTTGATTATTTGCAGCATTATATTCCTTTTAAAAGGTTCTGTGTTGTCATTCTGTGTCCAATCCATGGAAATAAAAGTTTTAAAACGTTGTATTCTTCAGGGAAGCTCATTATGGCAGTCTCTGGGCGAGCTACAACTTCACAAGTCTACGGGAGTGGATGTTTAATCGGGTAAGTGCTAGCAATACATGGTTTTCGAGAAGGAGAGGAACCATGATGTTTTCATTGCAAAGCTAAATTTCATGCCAAATGAACCAGGCCTAACTTCAGCCCTCACAAATTTGGTCTAAAAAGATTGTATGTGTTATTGGTGATGTAAAGGTACCTTTCCAATATATTTTTGCTATAATTTTTTTTTTAACAACATTTTGAATTTTGCAGAAAACAAGCCCCAAGGGGTAAAAACAAAATTTTTTTTTTTTTGAAAAAGCTTTGAAACTGGCATGCGAAATTAACACCATTTTTATACTTAATTTTGTCTTGTGTGTAACTGCAGCGGAAGGCTATGGCCTGCCGCGCGGCCCTGGCAAGGCATTCTTGCGCATCCATCGCAAAGTGCAAAGATCTTGATAGTGCTAGTTCTTCTAGTGGTCCATGTTTTTCGAGTGCGACCGCGAGAAGAGCGGCCGTCTGCCATTCTTGTGGTCTCTGAGCATGAAGGGTTTTTGCTGATAGGTTTAGTATTGAAGCGAACGTGGTGGACTAAACGTTGTATACAAATAGTGCCAAATGACGCCAACTTGAACTTTGCTGCTTGTGCCTATGAATGAGCCGACAAAGCCCAGCACCGTGATCAAACAGATCAACAAACAAGTGAAAAGCGAACAATATAAAGCAGAAGTTGCACGAGAACTTAAAATTTACATCAAACAAGTGGAGTGGCCAATACACAGCGGAATATGCAAGGAAATTTGATATTTTGATTGAAATCGATTTTTCAGACTGTTTGATTATTTTGACAATTTCGGATTCCTCTCCGAGTCCATGGTCGGCGACTGTACCTACTAAAAACAGTGTTTATTTTGCAGTCTCGTTCGAAACCTTTTTGAAAAATGTAGTATTTTTTATCCCTTGGGGCCTGTGTTCCGCAACATTCAAAGTGTTGTAAAAAAACCTAAAAAAAAATAGTTATAGCAAAAATATATTAGAAAAGGTACATTTGCATCACCAATAACACAAAATGTTTTTGAACTGAATCCGCGAGGGTCGAATTTAGGGTGTAGGCCTAAATCGTTTGGCGTGGAATGACCCCTCATGCATCGCTGAACGCTCAGTCTCTGCCCAAATCTAGCTCTAGCGTTGGGGACCGGATGCCAAAGTTTCAGCATTTATCCTTACCTGACTGCAAAAATGTTCCAAAAGCCGGGTGAATTCATGATTGAAAAGGTTTACTCCGACTTAACATAACAAGTTAATAACAAAAGGTACAGACGTTTCGCCACCTATGCAGGTGGCATCTTCAGTATACACTGACACAAATGAGGTGAGGTCGACCAGTCTACTTATCACACACGTCCCCGTAAACGTCCGGCAGGGGGCCACGGTTGGTGTTGCACACCGATGAGTCACGGCGAATGCACCAGGACTCGACGAATTTTCTTTGGGATAAATGCAAAAATGTTCCAAAAGCCGGGTGACCGCCTCTGCAGACGGTCAGAGGGGGGTCGTATACAAAGTGCAGTGCGGGGATTGTGACGCGACCTACATCGGCGAAACGGGCAGAAAGAGGGCAACGAGATTGAAAGAACACAAAAGGGACGTTGCCAAGGCCACCCATGCCACGCGGTCCAAGACGGAACTTGTCGAACACTGCTGGACGACAGGACACAGTTTCGACCTGGACAATGCGACGACGCTGGCCCGAGAACAAAGGTGGGGGCAAAGAAAATTCGTCGAGTCCTGGTGCATTCGCCGTGACTCATCGGTGTGCAACACCAACCGTGGCCCCCTGCCGGACGTTTACGGGGACGTGTGTGATAAGTAGACTGGTCGACCTCACCTCATTTGTGTCAGTGTATACTGAAGATGCCACCTGCATAGGTGGCGAAACGTCTGTACCTTTTGTTATTAACTTGTTATGTTAAGTCGGAGTAAACCTTTTCAATTACCTGACTGAAAAGTCCTAATCGATTTTTGGAAACTTTCAATGAGAAAATGTCACCAGAAAAGCCTGCTAGTACATGGAGAGGAATGGCATCTGCTACCACGAACGGACTCCATTTTCTCATGAAAAGGTCCGAAAATTACTTGTAACTTTTGAACTTCTGCTAAAGCCATATTTGGGGCAAAGAAAGTGTTTGGTGATCCATAGCTTATTTCAACAGTGAGCAAACCTTGCATCTTTTTTTATTTCCCAAATGCCCGGTGCATTACTCTGGAGTGCAATGGAAAAACAAACAAAGTAAAACAAAATTAGTGGAGTTGCAGTATTTTTAGGCTAGGCGGTCCAAGCTACTACGATTATGAAAGGTATAAGACCCTATCACTAACCTGCCTCGTCATTCGCAAAATTCTCTTTTATCACTGGTACCACAGTACTTGTGCGACATTACTTGAACTTAGCACTCCAGTGAGGGTAACATGATGGATCAAATAACTGAGCTGATGTGTGGTTGTGGAATTGCGGAGATACCGACATTGTTCTTGCCTTGGTTACCAATTTCAAGTTTTCTCAACACTTTCAGAGAATCCGAGTGGAAGAAGAAACAGATGCGTCCAGCTTTGATGCATTGCTCCATGCCGGCGAGAGCTATGTGTTGACTGCCCGCAACTACCCAGTCATCTCAAACGCTAAAGAGATTGTGAATGTGTAAGTCTGTTTCAGCAATGTTCCTGGTCTTTCCCACGTTTTGCATGCAGGAGAAGAGAGGAAAATGTTGTAGTTTTTGTCAGTGTTGATTTCTTTTGATAGAACTTGTGTCTGTAAGTGATCACCCTTGCTGCTGAGAGATATTTACGGTGTTGTGACTCGGGGCTTGTCCATGTAGTCGATCTCCGCTGGAGCCATGCGTCGCCCAGGACATCGGGCAGAGTTGGTAGCGAGCCAGGGTGTCTCTTCTCAAACTGTTTATTTACATTCTATGTACAGTCTGCCGTACGGCATGAGAACAACGTGAGAACACACCGAGAGCGCGTAAAACCGCTCTTTTTATAAGGTCCCCCTTCCCTACGTCTCTAGGCCAGGACGCCGTTCCCCAACTGGTCAGGCCCCGCCCACTAGCACGCACAAGCACACAGTGTAGTAGCGGCCGGACATCACATCCCGGCGCCGAGTCACTCCCGCCCTCGAATGCCGCGCCGAGGAGGCGACAACAAAGGGTCCACTCTCAGCCTGGGAGACGACGCTGGCCGAGGTGGTGCCGATCTCTCCATTAGGCGGCTTTGTGGCACGAAAAGGGTTGGGCCGGAACAACCGCAAGTGGCGTCCGAAGATTATCCGTGCTGAACACACCCTCACGGAGGTCCCGCAGCTGGCGCACCGTCATCCGGAATCTTCGCACAATAATCCCCGGTTCCTGCGTCGGGTGACCCTGTTTCGGGCCAGTGTAATCCCCGCCAGAAGTAAGGGTCCGGCTCAGCTTCGCGCCTAGGTGTGGCGGCATCAACACGGTGGTCCTCCGTCGAAAGCCATCCCTTTGTCGCCGCTCGCTTCGTTTCCGGGCTCAATCTCAACTGACCGGAACCATATGGCGACGATTCTCAAGGGGGTTCCCCAGTGCCGGGTGGTTTAGATAGAGAGGGTCTGGTCCGGGGGCCATTCATAACAACGGCGTTGTTTGGGCATGGTGAAAATTGAGCCGCAATCGGTCAGTATTTGCAAGCTCAGATATAACTTTAGCATTGACTATATGTTGATCGCAATTAGCTGTAAGTGATGCACTCATTTTTCTTTTCTTTTTTTTTTTTTTTAACTGGCCAAGAAATCATTTATTTATTGCTCTGAACTGATTGCAAGTGCTGAGCAGGCCACAGCTTTCAGATGGCACCGGGGAGATGCATGCGTCAGTGAGATTTCATTATACTATACTTTCAAATTTATAAAACGCAATATTATTTTTTTTAATTTTAAATTTTTGTTAGTGCATTTTACACAATGGTGCGACTTGTACGAATATTTTTATATAAGTATGGACCTTAACTGCGGAAACTTGTCATGGAGGTTCTATTTCTCGTTCGATATGTTGATGACAATATTTAAACTTGCTCTCGCTTGCACATACTATATTGCGATCATAATACTGTAAAATCCCGTGAGAGCGCCCACCCAAAATGAAGAAATAAGTGGTGACATATATGGAGTGGGTGATCTTTAAGAATGTGAGTGCAAACTTTTTATCAAAAATTAGTGATAAATACAAGGGCCACCCTGCAAACTACTTGAAACAGGAACTGATACTGCAGGTCGCGCACACGAAAATTTGCGCTCCATGGTGTGATCAACATGCGGGAGTTTGCTACAAACTCTGGTGTCATGGTGACTGACGCCGCAGATCGCGGATGTAGCAGGTTCGCCTTTTATGGTTCAATAAACACACAAGAACTTGTACAAACCCGGCTGTCACAGGATAAACATGTGGGAACCATAGGTGACACTCAGTTGTTTGAAACGACGCTTTATTGATTGAAGTCTCCCCCCCGACTTTTTATCGAAAAAGGCTCGAGGTACACCGAAGCACTTATGAGTTGTGAATGCGAAAGCACGCATGCCGCTCTTTGCTCCCTTCTTTAATCTGCGGCATACAACGAGCTGACCTTGGGCGTGGAACAGTGCAGCCGCTGCCTCGCGGACACGCAGTGCCATCGGGTGAGCAATCATTCAAACTGTTGTGTGCCTTGCGGTGCGAGGATGGAACAGACAGCAACGTAGTTCCCAGCAGAACGAACCCTTTGGTTTATTCCATGCGCCCTATATATTGCCACGCGCCGTACAACCGATAAGAGGCAAGCGAACGCGGTGATCAGTGATAACACAACAGTGTGATAACACAGTCAAGGTGACACCACGCAAACTGACGTGCAGCGGCCAGTGGGAGCCTCATTGACGCATGCCAGCCAATGGGACTGAAGTGTAAAAAGTGCTGTTGGCTCGCTTTGCGCGTGGTTTCATTAAGGTGCCGTTTTGCATGGTTTCAAAGGTGATGACATCGGCTCTCTCCATGAGACAGTCAATGCTTTCGCATTAAAACACTTTGGCAAATGGTCAGCCGCCGCGAAGCGGCATGTACGGGTGGGCCAGGTGGGTTAACACTTTTGTAAGGAGCTGCCGCAGACTTTCGCCGCGAAGCAGCGTGAACGAAGGGGGTGGTTGGGGCACCCTTCGTTCACACGTGCCCCAGTCATATGACATTCACTAGACCATAGATTCACTCAAATGGCAGCTTTTTGCTAAATTGTCATTTGCTCATGTGATATGGGCCCCGAAAACCCATTACAAATTCGCTCATGACACGTGCCGAGTGCGCATGGGATGGGATTCCCATCTGGCATCGCGTGATATTTGACGGGAATCAGGTGGGCAATGTACGGAATTTTCGTGGTATTGATATTCAGCCAAAAGAACAGTATGAGCGATTTCTGAGGGGAGGGCGACCATATGGGATCTTGCGGTACACATGGAGCTTTCCAATGCAGTTTCGGCGCGCTGACCGTGCAAATATGTGGGTGCAACTTATTGACCGGACAAAATGGTATATCTCGAAAACCCGACATTGAGGAAACGCAACATGCATCCCTAATCTCACATTCTTTCCCCCTTGAAAATTGTTTCAGAATAAACCCTGTTCACATTTTCTTGTCCACGTATGTCTGCCAGCACTTTTTTCTCAGAAACGAAGAGAGATCAAAAGTGTTCAGGCTTCTTTCTGTTCTGCGGTGGTCTACAGACTCTGAACCTATAGGCAACCAAAAACGTTGGATCTTATGCGCAGTCCCGAGTCCATCCCGGACCGTCAAGCACCCAGTCCCTGCCCCGAGCAGCCGGAAGCAGCCGCCGACGTTAACCTGGCGGTTGGCGAGGCGTTGGTTTCGGCCTCGGCGGAAAGCAGCTCAACAGACGTCGAGAGCTGTCCATGTCCCGAGTTGATCTCTGCTCATGAGTGCCCTCGCCCGGTGGCAGACGTCCCGGGTACAGACGACGTCGGCAATGGGACGCCGGTCCCCACGAGCTCCGACGAAAATGGCAGTCGGCGTATGTTGTTTGAAGCTGTCCTAATCCTAATAACAGTTCAAAAAAGTCTATGTACCCGCTTTTACTAGAATGTTTCGTGTTAGTTTGTTTTTTGTTATTGCCTTGTTCGTTATGTTTTATGTTGCACCAGATGGGGACAAGCGCGAACTTGTTTGTAGACAGGGTAGCAGGACATCACGTGACCTTGTGTCACGTGGTAATATGCCCTTCGCTTTCTGAATTGACTCTTTAAACTTCTAAATAAGTAAAACAATTGCTCCCGAAGTAATGCATTTCATAGCGTATAAGACTTTGGGGATGAAGGTCACTGTAATCTTTTTCCCTCCGTTTAAGGTTACAGTGGCAGTGATGTGATTGCTGGGCCAATTGCGCCGAACTGCGCCAAGGGGCTAACCCTGCTACATCCTGCTATATTTTGCCGAAATATGGGTAATCTGCGCCAAGCCTGTGCCAAAAAAAAATAATTTCGGTCTCCTTTTAAAACCGGAACTAAACTCTGTGCCGTAAGTGAGCATGCATGTGTAATGTGGCGCAAGCAGCTGCCCGACACAAAGTACCCTGCATCAATTGTCCATCTGGTCTGGCATGGTTTTCCCACCGTCTCACGTTTCGCGCTCGCGTCGTCTAAAAAGGCTCGTCTTGTGTCTTTTTTTCTTTTTTTTTTTTTTGTTATGTTTTTAGTGTTGCACGTGGGTGTGTGTGGACATTCCGACGGTAGCTTGTTGGGTACCAGCCATGCCGTCATGCTGTGAAACGAAACCATGTTTTTGCACGGCGGGAGTTACTTTGCGAGCTGAAGCACTCGCTCTCCTGAAAGCAATGGCCATGAAAAAATTATAGTTTGGTCCCAGCCTTCCAGTCACCATGGTCGTGCGACGTCGGGTGTTGCCGTCCTCACGTCGCTGCAGATATGGCACTTACTAAAAGGAAACTAAGTACCGCCGCATGTTCAGCAACATCCTTGTCCTTCTTTAAATCATACGTTACTACAAAACTTCCTCTTTAACTCAAAGTTTGCTGTGTCGAAGAATTGATTTCCTAGGTTTCTCTCGGTGGGCTTTCTTTCGAGAGGGACCTCGGTATGTGAAAAATCTGCCACGAAAGAAAGTTGGTGAAGGGAAGGGAGCTAAAGTGAAGAAGGCAATGTCTGCACGCTGAACCCACACAGCGCGCTTGTTTGTCTCGAGCTTAGTCGTTGCACAAAGCGCTCGGAGAACTTTTTGACGCTGACGTACAATGTTTTGCATCGATGTGCTCAGGTTCTTTTTTTGTGTGTGTTTAGCTTGTACCATATTTGCTGGCCTGGCAAGCATGCGCCGTTCGACTGTTTTTTGTCGTATGCTCGACAGTTACATTTTGCATATAATTCCGGAAATCAATGGGCGACGGAGCGGAGTTTCATGGCATGGTTTCGATTTCGATCAAACAGCTCCTATCTCCGTTCACGCAACGAAGCACGCCCAACTGCAAGCCTGCCGAAGTTGCCCTTACATGCATACGTACATGATTGCACGACGGAGGCACCAGCCAGGATGCTTGCAATCCATTATTTTACGTTTGCTTACTTTTCACAAAAATCTGGCACGTCGGGAACCAGTAAAACGGTGGCAAGCGGTTTTTCGAAATTGCACAACAATGCCTACAGCACTGTACACTTGTGGGATGTCTCAGCAGTAAAAACACAAGCAGCGAGTCCCATGACAACACGTCACATCAGAACACAACACAACATGAAGTGCCCTTCATTTGTCCAGGACTTGAAACAAATAATTTTATTTTTCTAAGAATATCTGCTCCAAAAGCCACTTTTGCTGCTCCAAAGAACAGTTTTGGTTGCTCCAAAGGCCACATTTGCTGCTCCAAAGGCCACATTTGCTGCTCCAAAACACTGTTTTGGCTGCTTAGAAAGGTGCTCCAATATGGCTTAGGCCCATCACATCACTGCAGTAGCGGTGCTAATTTTTGAATACTTTACATCGCAATTATTAGCTGAGACACGATTGCATGGTGGACGTATGCTTTCAGTATGCTCTCTTCTGGCAGCCACCCTAGAAGATCCCAAAAGTTGGTAATTCTGTCCGCAGATCCACAGATTCCCTAGAAACAAGGACTTATCTCTAAAGATAGCACCACCGATTTTCACACACGCTTGCATGCATCAGAAGCTACGCTTGGGCCTGCGAAAGGGTGACATTGCAGGTGTTTGATCGAACACTAATCAATTGTGCGGGTGCAGCGACTGTCGCGGACCCCGCGGAGGTGAGCGGCAGCGACAACAGTTCGCTCGACGCGACGTTCGGAAGCATGACACAACGTGGAGAGTCATCGTTGGAATCCGACGGAGCGTCCGGTTCTGCCCAAAACAAGGTCCAAGTCAAGGAAGAGTGGTCCTTGGCGAAGATGATCGGCGTCTCTCGCAAGTTCAATCTGGATCTTGCGCCCAAGGTGAGAAATAGTCGAGCTGGCAGGGTCTAGCGAGTGGTTTGGCCGCTACTGCTCCGCCAGGATGTACGGCCTGCACGAATATTGAGGCCCATTTGGCTAGTCCCTTTTAGGTGGCTGCATTGGATTCGCTTTGTCCTTGCCCTCATTGATGAAGCAAAGGAAGCTTTGTTCTATTCTCTCTCTTAAAACGGTGCCTCTGGCCGAAGCGAGCTTAGCAAAGCCACATAAACTGCATCGGCAAGTGGGAGACTGTACCTAACGTACAATTGTATTCTAACTGTACTTCAAGCCTTGAGTTTATACTTTTACAATTTGGTGCATTCATAAGACCGATAGAAAAACACTGAAAAACGAGACAGGGGTGAGGGGGCGGAGAGGGAGGGGAAAGGGAAGGGAGGGGGAGGGATGTGGTGGTTATCATACTTCTTCTATAATGAGGAGGCCTAAAGTTTGAACCTCAGCCCTGTCAAAGTTCGTCTTTTGGTGACTTTCTAACCTTTATCTTCATTTGACTGGTGTGGTTCGCTCATCTGCATACTTTGACTATTTCTCCATCCCTTTGCACACCAAACCCAATCCACTGAAATAAACCAATTTCTGTGGAGTGGGTTTCGTCACAATCCGGGGCAGACCTGGAGGCAGTGCTGCTTCGAAACAACGAGCAGAAATCATCCACATTTTTATTTATTTATTTATTTCAATACCTTCAAGGCCACACGGCATTACAGAAGGGAGTGGGGGAGAAACAAAAGTACAAAAAATAGAATTCAACACATATTAGTTAACATAATAGTTTTCAATGGCAGATTTGAATGCAGGAGCGTCTGTGATTGTGGCGATGGAGGTGGGCAGGTGGTTCCAGTCATTAGTAGTTCTTGCGATAAAAGAATAAAAAAAGAGCTTCGTGCGACTGAAAGGAACGTTGACTTTATGGTGATGATCATTTCGATGGGATACATACGATGGTTCAGAAAAACGCTCTTCACTTAGATGCTGGTTGTGATGATAAATTTTGTGAAATAAGGACAAACGAGATAATTTTCTACGCAATGAAAGATTCGGAAGATGTAAAGTTAGTTTCATGGATGATACACTGGAAAAACGCGAGAAATTAGACAAAATAAAACGTGCGCCACGATTTTGTACAGATTCAATTTGATTAATTAGAAATTCATGGCCTGGGTCCCACACCGAACTCGCATACTCAAGCTTGGATCTAACGAGGGTCTTGTACAGTAGTAGTTTTAATGATGAAGGAGCTTGATTGCCCAAAGCTAGGCGTGACGTCCAGAAAATGTGGCCCATAGTGTGCCGAAACAAAGGGCGGAAATTGGTGCAAGTTCTTTTCTATCGGCTCCCGCTGCTTTCATACTGGTTACGCTTTGTTTCGCAAGCCCCGTAAAATATGGTATTTTATGGCGTTCAGCATCAATATAAGGCTGTAATAAAAATTGACAATGGAGCGTCCGACCGACTGCGCTAGGACCACTTATGACTGCTTGCAACGAGATAACACACTATACTCCGTCTCACCCTACGATGGACTGGGGCCGAAAGGCTGGGGTGGGTGGAGCACTACCTCAGAAAAGCTTGCATCCGCGTTGTAAAAGAGTGCGTGAGAGAAATTCCAATACGCAGAGTATGAAGAGCACTAATCTTGCGCATATGGTTCTCTGTTGTGATAGCGCACTATTTTATATTGGTGTAGTAAACGTACATGGTATTCAGTTTCATAAACATTCGTAAACATGTTAACTGTTTGGAGAAGTTGGATGCTGCGCAGGCAACACTGACAGAAAGTTGTTCCGCCTTAGCCATTACAATCCAGTCCAATCTCTAACGCTCGATCCAACTCATCTTTGTTTCTTAAAGGCCACTGGTTCTGATTCCGGGTTCTCTTTGCCACATCGCTTTCAGACTGTATTTAATTCCTTCAGTAGTCTTTGGTAGTAGCAAGCAGATAGAGCTGCCGGGAGGGCTGAATAAGCAGACGAAAAACTCGCCTCCGCATGACGTGTCTTGGTGCACTGATAGGTACAACAGAGCAAATATACCTCGTGGTTTCTAACTGGCTCGTGAATGGACTGGCGGCCTGTAGCATTGGGGTTTAGTCCATCGTAGAATGAGACTGCAAGTCTGTTTCCTTCTTGTGTGCCTGTGAGTGTGACTATATCCGCACTGTTTCATGTAAGCATGAATTACCAACTAGCCCAAGCATCCACATTATCGAGACGAAGTATAGCACCATGTATCGGGTAGTGCTAATCCACTTCCGGTCTGGGTATACAGTATAGACCACTTACAACGTAACCGCTTATATTGCAGGACCGGGTATAACGCGGCTTTTTTAAACCACCAATTCGCCTCCCATAGAACTCCATGTAATTACATACCGCCTAAAATGCAGGCGCGCGAAGGGAAATACCGGTTATAGTGCGGTCTCTAAAACAGCCCGCCGACCGTGCCGACCGACACAGCGAGCACGCTTCCCTGTGCGACACTATAGTCCGTTGCAACCTAAGAACGAAGGGCGAGGGTAAGACGGGCCGGGGAGGAGGAAGCAGACGGAACGCTAAAGAGAGAAGGAAGGTTCCCCCTCTCTTCTCCGGAGTTCCGTCTGCTTCCTCCTCCCCGGCCCGCCTTACCCTCGTCCTTCGTTCTTAGGTTGCAACGGACTATAGATAACCAAGATAATGGCGTTAGCTGCAAGCGGCACTCGTGGGGCAAGGAGGTTGCTCGAAGAAGCAAGGAGGAGCGGAAGAGAGAAGCTTCAGTTGCCATAGCGAGGGAGGGACGCACGCACGTGTCGTTCGTGTGCGTGCGTTGGAAACAACCACAACGACAGACCAATCGCAGGTCGAGGAGAAGTGTTTGCGTGCGTTGCATGCGGGTCGCAGGGCAGCTTCTTGCTTCTCCTATCCGCAAACATGGCGTCGGTTGTGATCGTCGACGTAAACGGCGTGGTGGAAACTCATCGTTCCGCGTAAAAGCGCTATCCTTGACTGTGAATTTTCGTTGTGTGTCGCTATGATAACCCAGCACGTACCGGGAGGAAGATCCACATACTTGTGCGGCGATGTCGTGGCGGCACACTCAAGACGGCAGAAACGCCCAAGTCGTCGTGTTTGTTTACTTCGACTACAGTGGTGCTTTCTAAGCATTTGTGTTTTCGAACATCGCTCGAATTGGCTTTTGGCAATGGCTCTTGCAGCTCCTGTTCAGCAGAGGTCCCCTCGTGGAGCTGCTGATTTCCTCCAACATCGCCCGTTACGCCGAGTTCAAGGCGGTCACGCGAATCCTGACGCATCACGATGGGACTCTGCAGCAGGTCCCGTGTTCGCGGGCAGACGTCTTCAGCTGCAAGCACGTGACCGTCATCGAGAAGCGGATGCTGATGAAGTTCCTCACCTTCTGCAAGGAGTTTCAGCAGCACCCCGAGGAATACCGAGGCCAGTTTACGGTTTTTGTCTGCTTACAGTAGGGAGTTTTAGCAGGTCGTTTCCACACGAACGGTTCGCCCTCGAACGTATCCGCGACGCCACTGCGCATGCGCGCGCGAGTCGTTCGGGGAGTTGGGAGGCTCTTCTTGTTCGTTTCTCCCATTCCAGCCGCTGGAGTCGTCACCGCAACGCAGCCAGCACCGTTCACGACTCGGGTAAAAAAAAAGATGGCGGTCGGTTTGGCGACCGCCTTCGCCGACCGAGCCGAGCGTTAGGCTTAGGACAGCGGGAGGCGATTCGCCATCCTGTTCGTCTGCTTCATTTGAGAGGTTGAACCAAATCATTTCGAGGACTGCTCACAATGGTAAGCGATCGTGAATGCTGCAAACTGTGCATGCTAGTAAATTTTTGCGATCTGCGGGCAGACTAGCTGCCGTGGCGACCGCGAGCAGACAAAATGATTTGGTTCGACGGCACACAACGTGAACGATCCTTCAAGTTGAAGATGACGGAGACACACCGCATACCTTTACGGTCGTTCAGACACTTTTTACTCGATCTAGCTTCGCAGTTCTCGAAATTCCGACCAGCAAATGTTACGTCGGCCGTCTTGTTTACATCAGTCGTACGCCGGAAACACGAGCCACCACGGATTTACACGTTGTAGAATGTTTCACATGTTTACTAGAAGATGGCGCCACCGTTAAGCCCAATCATCATCATCGTTTACACGGTTGCGTCACTTTCACGATTCACTAAAGTATGTGAAATTTGACGTACGGTTTCACGGAACGGACCAGCTGCACCGTTCGTGATTTCGGAACCGTGTGCTTGAAAAACGACTCGCTAAAACTCCCTAGTATGTACTATAGCACAGTGTCGGTTCAGGGGTGAGCCAAGAACCGATACAATGCACAAGCCCATAGAAACCCATTCTTTCACACTTGACATAGGGAGTGATCACGTGTGCGACAAACGCGACAGAGCTGCGCCCCTGCAGCTGTTGTTTCCTCTTCGCCGGTGGGAGGCAGACGACATCTCTTCTGTGATTTTCTTGTAGAGCTTCTGGTAGTTTGTTGACAAAAACGACCGGTCCTCTCTATAACTACGTGAAATATTGCAAAAGCGCCGACTTCAATCAAGCGCCCAAGTAGGCCCTGCCCGTGTACACCGCTGCTCCTTCTGTGCTAGGAGCAGACGACGGTCTTGGTTGCTCCGATTGGAGGGACGTACTAGGCAGAGACAAAGGCAGGCAGCCTTCGGTGTCGGGCACTATTTATTCAATCAAAGTTTGGCACCGTGACATCACCGTCCCCTCTGCATAAAAAGCAAACAAACTCGTACGCCGTATAGGAAAGATTGAGCTCTTTTAGAGTCAGTAGGTTTTGGTAGCATTAGCCAATGACGGAACTTTGTTCTTGGTCCGATAGCTTTTTATCGACTGTACTCGCCAAGGACTTCCAATATTGGCAAGCAGAGGGAACTGTGCTAGTAGCAAATTGAGACTGGCTAGAAACTAACTGCTGGAAACTTGACTGCTGTCTGTGTGCAGGGTTTGAAGGAAAGCCTTTCAGGGAGTTCCTGAGCACAAGGCAGCTGACACAGAACCTGGAGCACTACATTCTTCACGCCATTGCCATGGTGGATGATCATACCCCTACTCTACAGGTGGGACTCTCTCCTATTCCATCCCGTTGTCTGGTCCTTAGAAGCTCGTCGAGCTGCACTAAATCTTCGATGACAAATAAGTAGCGAGGTTAAGACCACAATCTAAGCACACTACAGCTGATGACAGGCTAAGAACCCAGCAGCTCCGCCTCCAGCGTGCGCTCCTTGCCTTCCAGTGCGCTTGGGCTGTGCATGCAACTGATTGTTATCAAAGGCAGGAAGATTGCACTGGAGGCAGAGCATCTACTGAATTCTTAACCTGTCACCGACTATAATCTATAATTAAAAAGCTTCCATCACAATTTATAGCAGTAGTACCATTTCAACTGCCACTGTCCATCTTCTGTCAAAATTGACAGCCCTTGGTGGGGAAGCAGAGGACAGAGAAAGTTGCTATTCACTTTGTTTGCAAAGCTGTGTGTCTTTCTCCGCTCACAGTTTTTGTCATCCCACCGACCTCTAAGGAGAAACGTACGTGGGTTCATGGCAAGTCTCCACCTCGCTTTGTGAATGGTGTCCCAAGACCTATTTCTGGGTACCTTCAAGTGTGCTTTGCGTGGGGTGATGACATCTTACGATCTTGCTCGCGACGTTTCTTGTTCTTCATTTTTTCTGGAGCTCGTGAAAGCGTGTCTCCTAGCACGAGCTCGTGGCATTGACAGTGCTACGGCGACATTTCGTTACCGGCTACCTCTTTGTTTATTTCTAGTGAGCATGTGCCGTCGGCGTCGGGTACTGCAAAGAATGGCATCTCCCTAAACGGGACATTGAGGCACCCTCCTTATGTCTCGGGGAATTTTTTGGGCAGGGTCTGAAGTCCACACAGAAGTTCCTGGAGTCTCTGGGGAGGTATGGGAACAGTCCGTTCCTGGCTTCTCTGTACGGAAGCGGAGAGCTGCCTCAGTGCTTCTGCAGGTTAGTGGGAAAAAAAAAAAAAAAAAAAGTTTCTCGTTTTTTTAAGAATTGAAAGGAAAAATTTAAGCACGTCTTTATGAGATCTGATAAACACGGAGACACACGCAAAATTGATTGTGGATGAGCTGGGCACATGCTGTGTGTCTATGTGTGTTAGACATCATGCAACGTCATGGTGTCACGTGACATGTGATGTTGCATTGTCATGTGATCTCGTGACATCACAGTCACTTGATATCATCTGACATGATATGATGTCATGTGATATCAGGTGTCATGTGACATTACAATGTCACGTGATATCAGAATATCACGTGATATCAAGATGTCATGTGACATAGTAACGTCACATGACACCTGAACTTGGCATGTTGTCACGATGTCATGTGACACCCTTACGTCAATGTCATGTAAGACATATAGCCTCTGTGGGGCTATATGTTGCTTGTACGACTTTGACCTGTGTGTCACTCGAGCGCAGTGCTCGAGCGTTATGTGTGGATTTTTTCGGGAAACCCAGCCCTACGGTGCTTTCTGTGGTCACGCAACCTCTTCGGTACCCAACAGATTGTGTGCCGTCTACGGGGGCATCTACCACCTCCAGAGGGGACCCGGTGCCATTGTGCGCAACGAGCAAGGTGCCTGTGTCGGAATCATCTCCAATGGCAGACGCTTCAACTGCAAGTGAGCTCCCGCTGCCCGTCTTTTTGTATCGCAGCCTATTGATTACTAGTGTTGCGGACTAGCTCGGCATAGAATACCTTGTGGATAAAGTTGCCTGTGTCTGGTACATACCAAGGGCACTCTAAATGCATAGCACCACGGTGTCACAGCGTCATATGGCATCACGGTACTGTCGAGACCTGTTATAACGAAGTCAACGGGAATCGGAAATCACTGCGCTATATCCGCTTTTTCGTTATAACCGACTTTGGTTATAACGAAGTGCAAAAGGGAATGGTAAATAGTGATTGCTTCGCTGTAGCCGCTATTTTGCTATAACCGACTTCGTTATAACCGGTCTCAACAGTATCATGCAGCGTCATGGTGTCACACTGATTACTAGTGAGAATGCTGCAATGTCATCATGGTGTTCACATACACTGCGATGTCATCACGTGGGGTGACCATGAACCGTTTCTCTATGATGTCACATTCACACTGTGACATTGCCAAGAAAGGTGCTAAGAACTGACCCTCTAAATAGTATGCATTTAAGGAGACATGCGCCAAGGGAAAACATACTTTTAATTATTTATGATATCGAAATTAAATTTTTTGAGTTTGTGGTGCTTAACCTTCTCATTATTAATCTGGTGTTAGATTTGATATAGCTTGTATTTTTAGGTTCTCAGTGCAATGTACATGTAGAAAAAAAACATGTTCTTGTGTGCACATTAGGCATGGCAACAGGCACAAAAAAGTCTAGTACAGTGGACTCCTCTTAAACGGAACTTGAAGGGACAAGAAAATTTGTTCCATTTATCAGAAGTTTCATTTAAGCAAAGTAAGCAAAATTTGTGTATTATTACTTTGTTTCAAAAGCTTGAATTGTAGCTAACATGGCTGACTAAACAAAACAAGGTTATTGGCCTCTTGTTAAATTTTAAAGTATGTAATGTTGACGATTGGGAGGCTGGAGAAAAACTCTGTGCACATCTCCTAAAGCATCAAACACAGCTAATGTTGCTAAAAACAAAACAAAAAACATAAATGAGTTTGTATGGCATTGTCTAAGCACTTTTGTCACAAACTCTGAGTGCATTGCTGAGAACCTGGACAGAAACTCTGTGCACTTGTTTTAAAGCATTGAACACACCTAATGTTGCTGGCTAGAAAGAAAAAAAAAGAGTCAATGACAGTTTGTTTGCCATTGCTCAAGTACTTCTTCACAATGTAGGAGTGCATTGCTGAGAGGCTGGGCAGAAACTCTGTCGAACTGTGATGTTCAAAGTAGCACTGCAACAGTGTGACGGCATCTCTCGCTGCACAATCCGGCACTGAAATGGACTCAGGATCGCACCTCATGTTGTCATAACTTGACTGGTCTTTGTCCCGAACTCAGCAATCAGTTCCTCAAGTCTTTCCTCACGGCATGTTGCAATGTTTGCATCCAGCGTTTCATAGTCCTCCCGCATGAAAGAAGTGGATTGGATAACCGAACTGAAGAGGGTGTCAGCCTCAGCAACCAGCGGCTGCAGACATCTCTATCGACTGCCGCACTTTCTCCGGAAACAGTCTTAAAGGGCAACTCCGCTCAATTCCGAAAAATTGAGGCTTACATGTGATTCAAATTCACAAAGCATTACTAAACAGCTCTACGTCCTCGGATTCACGAAATGTGTAATATTATTTGTGTAATCTTAATTTAAACATCAGGTGATACTGAAACCGAAACTTCGGTTGCGTCAGGCAACATTGGTCTCGTGTCGTCTGAGGCATGGCCACGTCACATCGAACCACGTGGTCTTGTGACGTTCGTGGGGGCGAGGGACAGGACACGCAACGCGTGCAGGTCGCTTCGTATGGCGTGGACGGTGATGGCTTGGGAGAGTGGGGGAAGGGGAGAAGACGAAAGAGGAGAGGGGGAGTGGAGAAAAAGCGCGCAGGGCAGCGCAAACTAGCGCATCAGCGTTACGGTGGTCACGTGGGCGCCGTTCAGCCAACACCGGGAGGAGAAACTCATGACGTCATCGTTCAATTTCGCTCTGAGAAGTAAAAACAAACAAAACCCTGAAGTTCTCGATCCCCATTTGAGCGAAAATCTCTCGGGCCTTCTCCTCCAAGAGGGGTCCATTGGTCGGCAAATTGGCACTGCGTGCACGCTTGAACAAGAGTAGAAGCACGTCCTCAATTTTACTTCAACCATCGTCCGCATCCGCATACGGTCCATTCTGAAGCTCCCAAGCTCGACGGTGTTTTCAATCTTTCCTTTGTTCTTCAATATCCTCGACAGCGTGGACTTAGGGATCCCAAATTTCTCGGCGATTTCAGTCTTTGTAAGTTGGTTGCGATCAAGTTCTTGAATTACCTTGACTTTCGTTGCGAGCGAAAGTGTGTTGTGTTGTCGTTTTTTGGCGGTTTTCATTGCAGATGTACGATTAACGCGATTAGATATGGCGACGTCGTTTACGCGGGAACATGTGCTGTCGTTGGATCGGCTTGGCTAGGCTATGGTGGCTTGGCTATTGCTCCTTTTTATAGTTGTCAGACTGCCACGGCTATTTCCAATGTTTATACAGTAGAACCTCGTTGATACGTTTTTCAGGGGACCGCGGAAAAAAAGCGTATCAACCGGGAAAGCGCAGCAACCGATAACGCACTTAAAGGCACTCTATATAAGATAGGAAGCAGCTCTTATGCAATGGTTTATTTTATGCACTTACCGAACTCTTTTGGACTCAGACACGTTCACAAAAACGCGTAATATCCACCTGCCGCTTCGAACTAATGGTATGCAGTAAAAGTCGTTTCTCCAGAAGCCGCAGTCCCCTCTCTCTCCGCGCAGTCATGAACGTTTACGTAGCAGCGCAAGGTGTCCAACGCAGCGATCGCGTCCGCAAACGTGGGTGCAGCGTAATCGTTGGTTTTTTGTTCGTCTTCTTCATCACTTTCTTCGTTGTCGGCAGTAGTGAGGTCGGCCACAATGTCCGCTATGCTCGATATCCGAACGATCAGCAATCTCTTGCGCCTTCTCTCGCAGAATGCCTCCGTCGATGTTGACACAAGATGCCCGGGCTTGTTTGAACCATACCAACAGGGCCTCCTCTAACTTTGCGTGTTTTGCCCCCCGAGCCTGTTTAAAGCCTGGTTGGTAGAAAGGAGCCTTCGCCTCGATCTCCTTTCGTCTCGCGACGACACTGTTTAAGTTGACGGCGCGAGTCCAAGCTCTCTTGCGACCTCAGACCTCTTCCGGCTGGGATTTCGATCCACCGTGCGAAGTATGTCAAACTTCTCTTTAAAAGAGAGTGCTTTTCTTTTTCGGGATGTCATGGCCGTCGTCAACGCGCACGCACTCAGAAACGGCACTGTTCACGCAGTCGAGCTGTCGAGCGGAACAGAAACTGGAAGTGCAGCGTCCCGGCGTGCGTGCGGCGCGTAAACAACTCGCGCCGGAGAGAGAGGACAGACGAAAAGAAAGAGCAAGAGAGAACGAGCGTTTCGCAGAGCTCAGCAAAGCCTAGTGAGGAGACCGGGAAAGAGGGTGAAAGTAGTAAAGGTAAAGGGAAGGGGGGCGCCCGCGTGCCGCGCGGCCGCGCGATCCGCGCTGCGTGGTTCGGCTGCGTGGCACCTTGGCGCACGGCGCGCCGAGGCGCCGCGATTCCGGCACTTTTGGACGTAACAACCGGGAAAGCAAACGTAACAGGCAGGAAACTAATACATGTATCTCTATGGAAGTAAAACGGGACCGGCGTTTTTGAACGCAACGGACAGGAAAACGTATCAACCAAGAACGTATCAACGAGGTTCTACTGTAGTTTTCGTTCAGTTTAGTTTCATTTAACCGAAGTAAGGAAAAAAAGTGTTCCGATTAGCCGAACATTTTTATCATTAAATACATAAGAGACCAACCAAAGGTACCTACATAGTTTCGTTTATGCATATTTTTCATTTAACTGAGTTTCAATTAACGGGAGTCCACTGTAAAATAAGCTAATTTGCTTTTTTTTAAAGCACTGAGTGCAATGAACAAAAACAAAATAATTAGTGCAGCACTTTAATTTCAAAATAATTAAAAATAGCAAAAAAAGCCATTTCAAGAGGCTAAAAAGAGTTCCTTAAATTTTTCATAAATATAAAAATATACATTCTAACCAAACCTAGATAGTTGCATTCTACATATTCTAAAGTTTATGCATGTCAAATATGGTTGTGATAGGGCAATATTAAGAACAAAAATTTGCACAAACTGTGAAGATGGTTCAAACTTGCATAAAAACAAAAATATGTTCAAATGTTACCGTAGATGTGTAGCTATAGTCTTTAGCGATGCGGGAAAGCAAATATTTTCTTTATAAATTTCCATGAGAAATTGAACCTACGGAAGACTGCAATGGAGAGGAGACAGCTACGCTTACTTGTGTGTCTGTGTGGCAGGCAACGTCACAACCCGAAGAACCATGCGGAGAAAAACTGCTCAAATTCATGCCGCTCTGGGTTGCCTGGAGGTCTTCAAATGCGTATTTTACTAAATGTGCGGCCATAACCAGCACTAATTACTTCTATACATGAAATACAAAGATTCAAAAATAACACAACGTCATAAAACCCCAAATCAAATTTTTGCAAACTATCGCCTTTTTCCACACGCACTTTCCCTTGAAAGTTTTCATGTCTCAGTCTGGCTCAACAAACATTCCTGCCTTTGCTCCATTCTCGGCAGAACAGGAACACAGAAAGGGAGTTCTGTAGAAAATACTTACCTCGCTCCTATTTGTTCACATGGTTGGAGTTTCGAAGATGCTATTTGGTTTATCGCCAGTGCATACCGTGTCATCTTCCTTTACTTGTTTTTTTTAAAAGAAGCAGTGTTTGAAGATCAGTTGTCCCAACTTGATGGCCCTTGCTGTGCACAGATGGCTTGTGATGGAGTCTAGCTATGCACCACAAGAGTTCAAGCCCACTGAGGGATTCCACAGGTATGCATCACCTTGACACAATGGCTGCGTTCCAAATCTTACCCAAATGGATCCGAGTTATTCTGGTGGGTCGTGTCACGTGACAACAAACATTAAAAAGCGCTGAACGCGGGTAGGTTTTGGAACACGAAGGTACCAAACCCTTACCCTGGAGTAAGGATGAGTAAATTTTGGAACATGGCCCTTGTTACCAAAGGATCTTAGGAAAAACACAAACCAAACTTTTTGTTTCAGGGTGTCAAGGGCCATCCTGGTGACGGACAGGTCGCTTCTCCCAGCTGAAAAAGAGCAGGTGACTATTGCAGATTGTTTTTTTTTTAAATTTTTTTTTACAATAGCTGTCATGGACTGTTTTGTCAACTTGAAATGGCGGATGAAGGGCGTTTGGTGTCGATATCGCCAAATGCTCGAAAAAGGAAACCTGCTGCGGTTTTCTCAAGATTTGATGCCGGGTCTGCTGATTGTGAAGCAAGCTCGCTACCACTTAGCCACGCCAGCTGCTTTGATGCGCTGCCTAATAAACCGCATGTGTTAAAGGGGCACTCAAGCGGTTTTCGGAGAAGCTACTTTTTGGTGCGATGGCGTTAAGGAAGTGTCAGTGAATGAGTGTCTTCAGTTTTAGAAGGCAGAACCGCCTATTAATCACGCAGGAATAAAATATGTGTGGACTCTTTTCTGTTCCTGCGCCGACCAATGAAATTATCGTATGTTCGAAAATTTTGGCGGCCTTTGCAAAGTTTTGCTAAAGAAACAATTTTCAGTTCATTTAGATATGTTGTGCATGATAATTTCACAAGACGTAAAATAGTTCTAGTTTAAAATATGCGATACTGCAATTATCGTTTCACAAACAAGGGACTACGTTTTCTCCTTGCCTTCCTCCGCGGGGGGTGAATTTCCCGTTCCCTCGGGATGCGCGGAAGCGCACATATTATGAACTGCAAACATGGCGTTGGTGGTGATCGTCGACCTGGACGGCGTGGTGAAAGCTCATTGTTCCGCATAAAAGTGCTATCCTTGACTGAACTTTCGTCATGTGTCGCTATGATAACCCAGCACGTACTTGAAGGGAAGATCCACCTACTCGTGTGGCGATGTCGTGGCGGCACTCGCAAGACAGCAGAAACGCCCGTGCCGTCGTGTTTGTTTACTTCGACTACAGTCGTGCTTTCTAAGCATTTGTGTCCTCGAACATAGCCCGGATTCTTAATTTGGCGCATTTCATGTGTGTGCTCAAGCTCAAGGTATTACTGGCGCGTACCGTATAAAGGATGCGAATTTTCGAGCATTTTCATCACCGGAAAAAAGTGATTAGTGTTAGCAGTCCTGAACGCTGTCACGAAATCATATTTCTACGTTGCTATGTCGCTGCTAAGATTACATCGTCTTTTATAATCATAGAAAAGGCGTGTGGCGATATTTGTACTATTGTCAAAGTCGTGTATTAGAGTCATGATCGTCTAAGACGGCGTACTGCGTCTTTTTCTGTTCTTTTTTTCATCCACTGTACCCTGCAAGCCTATCATGAAAAAAATAATAAACCTTTAGGCTATAGAAAACTGGCTGTCTATATTCTGCTATGGCATTGAGCGGCAGTGCGTCCCCTTTTAGAGGCGCCACTGAAACAGCTAACGGCGGCGTAGAAGCGGTCGCCGTGCTGACGACCCGCTACGCTTGTTGCAGTGGTTGGTGGTTGCAGGTGCGCGCGACGCAGAGCGGTCTTTTCGGTCGCTCCGGTTGCAACGGACGCAGTCGTAGGTAACGCGCTTGTTGCAAATGTCTGAACCAGCCTTCCCCGTCCTCCCGAGGCGAAAGTCAACGTGGCGACATCGTTTTACACCACGTACCAGAGGTTTGCTGCTATGCCAAACGTCTGTTTGGTTACAACTTGCCCCAAACGCAAATCGAAAAACACCCGAAAAGGTATGCGTTTCATCGTCCTCGGAACCCGAACACGACTCCGAAGCGCTGCTATCGTTCACTTCGCACATCGGAATGGCGTCATAGAAAATCATGCCTAGGTCGGCTGTCGCCGAAGAATGTCAACCTCTAACGGCGTCAGGTCCTCGAGTCTAGAGAACTCCGCCATGATCGAAACTCGAATGACAAAAAAAGTTTGGCCGGTGCGGCTACCTAGGGATCGCTGTGCAACGGAACATCGTCCAACGCCATTGGCCCGAGATCGTTTTGATAAGCATGCGATGACCAATGAAAGTGGTTTCGTTTTCGGATGGATCCAAGGTTTGGCGGCCTTCAATTACATTTTTATTAAAGAAATATACACCGTATGACTATATTTTTTGGTTTTTAGGGATGCTTAGGGCGTCTAAATTCAGTTGTCATCATCAAAACACAAACTCAAAAACCACTTGAGTGCCCTTAAGGACAACTGCAGATACGTGTCTCGCACAGCACCCGCCATACTTTGTTTCAGCTTAAGTCCAGTCGCAGCCAACGCTGCAAGCTGATGGGACCAATAAGTCAACTTCAGAAGCGCATCATCATGTTGTTTGTTGTGTCTGTGTACGTGTTTTATCATCGCTGAACCAATCGTAAGCAGGAAAGGTCCAGTGGCTTGTGCTTTTGAGGCTCGTTGATCAGTACCTTTAGCTTGTAGCGTCGGCTGCGCCTAGACTTAAAGGCTGACTTACAACCTCGGCTTTCTTCAAGGAAGATAAGCCTCTCAGCAGTCCTTTCTCCTAAGCCGCGAGGGGAGCCAAGCTGGGAGAAGTTAAAAAGCGGAGAGGCTATAGGAAAGGAGGAGGCAGGCAAAAGTAGAAAGTTTGAAGTGTATGTCGTCCATTGAGCTAAAACAAAGTATAGATTGCCCCATTTGCGGCGATGTCGCATCACGTCACCCGATTCTCACGCCGCGTCAGTTATAGGGCTTTTTTGAGTATAAAATAAACGAGTTTGTCACCGTCCAAGCAGGCAGTGGTTCGTCCATGTAAGCCGATGACTGCAGCAGAAGAATTGGAGCGCATCATCGCATGGTCATCGCAGGTTTACTGCAAGATGCACCAGGATGCAAAAGGGTTCAATGAGGTGACTGTAGGCTCAGACAAGCGGCACTACATTCTTGCAAGTCCATCCTTAGGCATTGTGCTATTTGACTTCCCTTGTATAGTCTTTCGCAGGTTAAGAAAAGCGGGACAAGCTTCCCCCCACAAAGCCATCCACTCACTGTTTCTGCTTTAGTGGAGCAAATGCTGGGGAGGGGGTGAGTGGAGAGAGGGAAAAACAAATCGAGCAGAGAGCTTTCTGGAAGGTTTTTTCTGCTATTCTAAACCTGCAAAGACTGTAGGAGGAACAAGAAATGCTGCATGCAAGCTATATCTCGCAGCTGTACTTATGCGGAGAGCAAGTGGTCTGCTCCTTGCTCATGAGTTGCGGTGACATCGGAACAACGCCGAGCTCTGATTGGCTTTGATTGCAAGGATAGTGGGTAGACCTCAACGCTAGATGCCTTGAGATCTACCCACTATTTTTTTCATTCGGCCAATAGACTTCGGCGTCCAGTCGTCATCGCAATTCCTGCGCAAGAAACAGACGAATTTCCACTCTGCATAGTAATGAACCTTGAAGAAGTGTCCCAACGCTTCAAAACCTGCTTGGTTTCTTCTTCAGGGGTGACTGGATTGCAGGGGGAGCAGTGCTATGCTCATGTAATGCAATCCATGTGGTGTGTTGTTTGTTTCAGATCACGTTGCTCCGGGTGCCGAGGAAAGACGGAGTCGGTTCGGCGGTGCTGGTCCAAGAAATGGGTCCGGGGATGATGGTGTGCCCTGCCGGACTCTGTGAGAACACCTTTCCTTGTCGTGCCAGAGCTGTCCAGAACCGGTCAGACTGGCGCCGTACCTTCCAGAGTAGAGTCCGCTCACTATGCACATTTAAAAGATAAAAATTCACTCAATGCAGGCCTTTACGAGGATTTATTGTTCAAAGTCGTTCATTATGATGAGGGCGATTGATTTTGGGAATGACGGATTATGATGATGTCTGCATGATTGACACAAGCTTCTGTACATTTAAATTTGTAAAGAGACCATTCTTTTAAGAGTGTGGCGTCCGAATTTTTTATGTGTAGAGCATGCATGTGACAAGTGTGGACTACGTTCTGGGTGCAGACTATCCAAGGAGAAAACTTTTCCAGTCGAAATTAGCCCCCGTGGACTATGCACCGGGCATGGACTGTAGTCCCGAAAATATGGTGAATTTGCGCAACCTCGTTGGGCTCGAGTGAACAGGGGAACCTAAAGAGAAACTGAAGCAGTTTTGTATTTGAGGAAAAGCACCTAAATCGTCTTCATTTGGCCTCCAGGATCACAAATATCAAGATTATGTTTCAATTTGGTGCACGGAGGCTGCAGAAATTAATTTTTGAAGTACCGCCAAAGCCCCTTCTTCCCGGGGCGTGACGTCATATTAGGAGTTTTCGGAATCTCCGCTTTCGCGCGTCTTCAGCGCCTCTCAAAGCTGTGCACCTGCACTCTCACTATATTTAAGAAGGTCGGAAAGAGAGGTCACAACAGGTGTCATTGCGGAGGAACATACCTGGCAAGCTTGTAATTGCACGCGCTGCCCACAGGAACGACACTCGCTTGGTGGCCCAAATATCCTAGTTTGACGTCACGACTGGTCAGAGGTTTTTCGTGTTTTATCGCATTTAGTTACGTCTTCGGGAAAAACTAACGTGATATTCAGATTCAGGGGATAAAAATATGTCAAAATTTACCTCTAACTCATTTTTTTTTTTTTTTCGAGAAGTGTTTTAGCTTTTTTTTAATGGTCCACCATTTATTGTAGAAATATCAGCAGGTGGGGATGAGTGCTGTCTCGTAAAACCAGCTTCGCTCGCAGTCGTGGTTCACCTGACGTGTCCCAGCGTTGGAGAGGACGCGGAAGAAGACCTGGAGCCCGTGGTGAGGCTGCTCTTCAGCCAGTCGTCGGACGAGAGTGAGTGCGCCTTCTTGGAGCACCTTGGGTGCACCTTTACAGTGGGAGCCGCCATACAAAAGAAAAACTGTGTCGCGATCACACGGTAAGCCTCGTGTCCGCTCTTTCGATCGAAGGTGAAGAAGAGACGAGACCCCGAGCCCTGTACCTGGTCTACTTCAACTCCGAGGACACCACGGGGAGCCCGTTGAACCGGAACTGCCCTCCCGGCTTGATCCTGGTGTCCTCTCCTGGACCTTACTTGGACTACGAACGTCCGGTGAACGAAGTGAGCCTTGGCCTTGTACTACTGTGCGCAGAATGCGTTGCTGAACGCTGTGTTTGGCGGCTTTTTGTACCTCCCGCGCACCTGCATCGTTCCCGAAGTGGCAACAAAATGTGTCGAAGAAGTCGACAACTTATGGGCGGGATGTCTTGATCCCGGGGGTTGGTCTTAGAAGCGCTGGCGAGAAGGGAGAAGGAAGCGAGCGTCGTTGTCGTCTCAATTTCTGGCTGCCAAAAATTTTCGAACTGTCAAAGCGGAGCAAGCGTCAGACAGATCCTCCTTGGCTGCCATGCCACTGTCGGAATGGTGGCAAGTGACAGCGCAAAACAGTTGCAACGTGCAGAGGCGTAACTCTACGAGCCAAAAATTGAGACCCTGTAAAGGCACCAGTCAGATGCGGGTTCCGGCTACCATGCTTGCTTGCGCTCATTCTTGCGTTGACGACGCAGGTCCAGCGTTGTCAGAAAGCTTCTGTAGAGCTGCTCATTATCATCAGGTGGGGGTGATGAAAGACTGTTGTGCTACACGTGTGCTTGTCAAGCGAGAGCACCTTGAAAAGGTGCAAGCTTGCACTCGTAGCTTTTGGAGAAGCATGGTTAGAAGTCATCCCATCTACAAACAGCCAGGAAAGGCTCAGTCGTGCTATATGTTGTTTTTTATTGGTGGTGGTTTCATGGTTCACGAAGCTGGGTCGCAAAACTCGTCAAACGCAAAGTTGAGGCCGAAGTTGGCGCAGTGGCAACCCCGAGCCCCCGCCATGCTTTTTAGGGACCATCCAGCATGTTGGTCGCAGCTGATAATCTTTGTCGTGACGTCACACGTATGAACCAGGGTTGTCTCCGCACGCTTTCTGGTGCTGCTCTTGTTTAGTGCCTAGGGAGTGGTAGGGATCCTTCACTCCTTCAATGAAAAACGTCACGAAGATAAGCGGGTCTGCGGGTTTGTGAGAAAAGAAAACTTTGCAGTATTCTTTCAGCTATTCCCTTCGCTACCTCATATCGCAAAGAATTTTTTGTTTTGGACGAGTTTAGCGACCCTGGACTGTAATTGCCATGGGTCAGTAGTATGTGATCTACTACAGTAGAGCCTCGTTAGTTCAGAGTCGGTCGGATGGCAAAAATTATGAGATTTATGCTGATGTGCGAATCATCCAAAAATAAAAGAAAACGACAAAAAGTTGTGCGCGAAGCCTTGAATCTTTAAGGAAACATGTTACTCAAAACGCGTCGTCAAAAGCAGAGCCTCTGGTCAAAACGAGAGAACATCACCCGAAGTAGTCGTCGATATGGGACTGCCGCATTCTTTAATTAGCAGCGCCGATCGTCATGTTTTCGAAAAGGCTAACTAGGCGCAACATCTCAGAATCACCGCCGTTACATTCCACAAAGCTGCAGACGCCATTCAGCAGTTGTATAACTTCCCCTAGATTGGGGGCCCGAGGCAGCTCATCATCGTCGTCGATCTCTGCCGTCACACGGTCAGTGATTTTGCTCTCAAGGTCCGCGTAGCAGGTTTGCTCATTCTCTATAATGTTTAAGTACTCTGTGAACCTCATGCCGACCGACTCACCGTCACTGTCCTTAATGCGGGAGCAAAGCTCCTCTCTCTGATCATAATGTAAAAACAGCGCAAACAAACACGGACGAAGGAGAACAAACACGCAGACGGGACAAGCGCTGCTTTACATTATGATATGGGCAGCGCTCGTCCCGTCTGCGTGTTTCTTCTCCTTCGTCCGTGTTTGTTTGCGCTGTTTTTACATTATGATCAACGAATACCAACTAGCCCAAGTCTCGACATTAACTCGTCTCCCTCATCATCAATCCTAAGGACAACACTGGCAGTAGCGCTGGCGGTATCTGCAGTATCCTCCTCCTCCACGGCTGGTCGTTCCTTCAAAAATCCAGCGTGTTCTAAGCACCTCTTGATGACTTCTGACTTCACCTGTTTCCACGCATACACGGTCAGGCATATAGCCCCAAGAAGATCGATGGAATAGCCCTTGCCATTGTCATGGGAGAGTAACTTCTGCTTCAAAAAGTGGTACAGTATAGACCACTTACAACGTAACCACTTATAGTGCAGGAACGGGTATAACGCGGCTTTTTTAATCCACCGGTTCGCCTCCCATAGAACTCCATGTAATTACATACCGCTTAAAATGCAGGCGCGCGAAGGGAAATATTGGTTATAATGCGGTTTCTGGAACAGCCTGCCAACCGCACCGACCGACCGGTGCAGCGGACACGCTTCCCTGTGTGACACTAGGTAACGGCGCTAGCCATCGCAGGGCAAGGAGGTTGCTCGAAGAAGCGGGGAGAAGTGAAGAGAGAGGCTTCAATTGCCATAGCAACGGAGGGATGCACGCACGTGTCGTTCACGTGCGTGCGTCTCTCCGCTGCGTTGGAAACAACCGCTACGACAGACCAATCGCAGGTCGAGAAGTGTTCGTGTGCGTAGCATGCCGGTCACGGGCCGGCTTCTTCAGTCCGCAAACATGGTATTTGTTGTGACCAACGTTACTAGAACATCGACGTAGACGGAGTGGTAGAAGCTCATCGTTCCGCGTGAAAGCGCTATCCTTGACTGTGAATTTTTTTTGTGTGTCGCTATGATAATCCAGCACGTACTAGAAGGGAAGATCCACCTACTCGTGCGGCGATGTCGTGGCGGCACTCTCAAGACGGCAGAAACGCCCGTGTCGTCGTGTTTGTTTACTTCAACTACAGTGGTGCTTTCTAAGCATTTGTAGCTTTCGAACATCGCCCAGTTTTGTTATTGGGAGCATTTCATGCCTGTGCTCAAGTTAAAGGTATTACTGGCGCGTACCGTATAAAGGATGCGAATTTTCACGCGTTTTCATCACCGGAGAAAAGCGATTAAGGTTAGCAATCCTGAATGCTCGCAACGTGCGTCCGCAACCCGCGACGCCGTTAAAAGGCTGCGCCAGGCAAAAGTCGCTCATTTCTTTCAAAATGTGTGACACACTTGAGAGAGAAGTGTACTAGTCTGGTGAAATAAAGACTTTGCTCAAACTAAGCTTTATTTTTCATCTAACATAAAATAAATTCTTTTACAAAGGTAAGTTGTCTGATGGCATGTATTTTGGCCTGAAAAATTGATGTTTTGGTTATAGCGCGGTACCACTTATAGTGCGGATTTTCGCGACATACGTTACATGCGGTCTACACTGTAGCGATAGATCTTCCGTGTATGAAGGATAACAGCTTGGTCCATTGGCTGCGATATGGGATGTCGTGTTCGGTGGGAGGAAGACCAGCTTGATCGCTATGAGGTTCTGAATGTCACCATGGCCGGGACAGTTACCAAGGACGAAAACAACTTTTCGCCCTGCTGCCGCAAACTTGCAATCATGGTGTCGCACATACTCTTTGAAGATGACTGCTGTGACCCAGGCTTTCCTGTTGTTTCGGTATATGAGGTCATTGGCCGGTGGAAGCCAAGCATTCTTAAAGCATTGTGGCTTCTCTGCTTTTTGTAGGACAAGGAGGGGCCGGGGCAGCTTGTGTTCGCCCATCATGTTCGCATCGAACATGATGCCTGTTTCTGCCCTTTGACGTCGGTGTCTTTTGCTGCAAATGTTTTTGTGGGAAGCATCTTGTAAAAAAGGGCTGCTTCGTTCAGATTGTAGACTTCCTCTGCGCTGTACTTGCTAAGAAATGGAGTCAAGGTGTGCTTTATCCAATCTTCGACAACAGTCTTGTCTGCCCTGCCGCTCTCACCACACACCGTAAGGTATGTCAAGTTGTTCCATTCTTTGAAGCGGGAAAACCATCCGTTGCTGCACTTGAATTCTTCATGTCCAAGTTTTGAAGCTAAATCGTTGGCCTTCTCTCGCAAAATTGTGCCGTCGACAGGAAGGTGTGCTGCGGTGGCATTCTGAAGCCAAGTTATCAGGGCAGCTTCGACGTCCGGGTATGTGGGGAATCGAATCCGCGAACGCTCTGCAGAGTGCATCTTGCTGTACGCCTCGATGATCCTTGCTTGGTTCTTCGGAATGGCGCAAAGTGTGGAGATCGGCATCTGGTGCTTCTCCACGAGCTTCGTTTTTGAGCACATCAATTTGTTTGCTTTTTCAATGAGGCAAACCTTTTGCTTCAAGGTTAAGGATTTATACTTGGGCATCTTTGGCCTGTGCACCTCGTAATGGCTGAACCACGGCAGTGCAGTGACAAGAACAATGACTGACACCCGATATGGTCATGAACTCCACGTGAGGCGAAAGCCGAGAGCAACTAGGCCTACCCAAAACCTGTCAAAGCCCCAAAAAACAAAGGACTACTAAGTGCATGGACCAGCAAACAGGAAACGGAGCAGCGAAGACGTGCGCCATGTTTGTTTTTGCTTCCAAATCTGGATGCCAACTGGCAGCACCTAGCAACTAAAAATTGAACCTGGAAGACCAAATCGGCGAATTAAGCGAGTAGGCACGCGCGGAGCGCTCATGTTATCCAGTCATATTTTAATGAGAAGTCATTGGATTGTGGAAATTTTGCGAATTATCCAGGATTTCAAATAAACCGAGATTAGGTTCTACTGCACTCTACTTGCAGCACTATTAAGTATGTGCCAATCATAGTGTCATCACTTTGCTTTGTTGCATCGTTTACTTGGTCGCCAAATTATTAGATAAATAATGGCATAATAGTATCTTACAAAGCAGTTTGTTTTCACTGGGGCTGGCATTGGAACTTTGCAATGCAAATTCTTGTCCTTTTGTCCTGCAGGCCATGGAGGTCTTCCGTACCATGTACGCCAACGAGGAATTCCTTCCCCGTGCCCCCGACCCCGAAGAAATTCTGTTGGAGTACGAGAATAACCCTGGAGATCACGAACCACAGGAAGACGGAAATCACGACGAAACCGCGTCAGAAGGGAAGGACACCGACAAAGATGGGCGTGGAAAAGCTGAGCCTGACACACCGAACCAGGGCAAACCGGAGCAGGCAAGCAAGGAGCTAGAAGACAAAGAAAGGGAACCAGAAAGCGGCAAGGGAGACGATTCTAATGCTTCAAAACGTACAGAGAGTTTGTCAAGTCCCAGCAATGCTAGCTTCTCGGGCGACTCCTAATAATGTTTCTCGCTCCCGTCGCCATTGTTTTTTGTTTTTCTCGTGTCTTCAAAATGTAAGTTATCGCTGGCGATACCTGAATGATTTTTTCTTCATGGGTGCTACTTCTTGTTCTTTTTTTTTTGGTGGAGTCACAATAAACATATTAAGGTAATCCTTATTACAAGTGGATTCATTAGAAAGTATGAAATGTACATGCTCATATCAGACAAAATGCAGAGGAACAGTAGAACTCGAGCTACTAATACAGTGACTTAAAACGAAAGAAACACAGAGAAAACGAAACAGACGACACAAAAGCTGTGTCGTCTGTTTCGTTTTCTCTGTGCTTCTTTCGTTTTAAGTCAATGCAGATCACCAACACACTCAAGTCTTTGATTACTATTACAGAAGAGCAAATATGCCAACTTTTCTTGACCCGGTTTGGTAAACATGAACTACCTATTGTTCTTTAGGGGCAGCAAATATGTGAAATGCCCACTTATATATTACCTATGTCTGCCTGCCCAACATCACAGCTGTACTTTGTGCTCGGTTTCATGATAGCACAAAAGCCTTTGTCTGCTTCTTTAGAGACCAACACACTTCATTCTTTAGAGACCAACACACTGTTTACAAACAATCTGGTGAGGGTACTCAGGTGCTCAAAAACTAGACTCGCGTGAAGCGTCTGCACTTGCACCAACATCAGCGCTACCGCGACTGGGTATAATATACTTTAACTAGTAAATTTAAAGATGTGGTTTCAACTAGCAACTTTCTGGACATCATCGAAAACTACTAAATCTGTGCACTTGAGAAAGTTTAATGGCATGCAAGACATTTTACAATCTTAAAAAAAAGATTTTGGCGTGTTTCAAAGTTTTGGTTTTCCATCAGAATGCATCTCCATGCCAGCAGTTCTTCCACGTGTCCAAGGAGGAAGAATCTGGAAGAAGATGAAGCCAGCTGGGCGTAAGACATGTTTTCCATGGTCAGAGAGCCAGCCGAGCCATGGCCCACCATTTCTTCGATCGACAGGGTGCTCCAGCTGTTCGGTTACAAGAACGACCACAAGCTAGGAGACTTTAAGGCCCGCTTTTGCGAAGACCGCCACCCGGCCAACATGGGCGCCAACCCCTGGAGCCCCACAACGGCCGTGCCGAACTCCTTGCGTCACTGAAAATTCGGCCAGCTCGTCTGCAAACTGGGCACACTGGGAGCCCTCGCCAGGCGCTCGAGACCACCATCGCGAAGACCGCTGCTAGGACTAACGCTGTTCACTCTCTTCACCATCCCATCATCATTATTATCCCACATACATCCAGTCAACAAGCCCTCATCACCCGCAACATCAACCCCACCCTTGCCCACGAGCCTATTTCAACATTGTCATGCATCTTGTATATTATATTGCCCATAATCACACTAGACGCAACACCGTGGGCCTCAATGGCACCGGCTGTCGCCTTTCTGCGGTGCGTAGCTCTCCTGAGTCGTTAAAGATTATTATCATAAGGCCCGTAACTAATGATTTTGCAGCGAAGCTGTTATACGCTAGGGTTCTGGAAAAAATGCTTCCTCACATGTCGACAGAGAACTCCCCATTGGTCGTGGCAAGTATGAATAAATAAAAAAACAAAAAGAGGGTGCAACCAGCGTGAGTCAGCCTTCCTTGGCATTATTAGATAGGTCCTGATCCCTTGCTATCATCTCTAGGCATCGTTTTCGAGGTCATCCCAGAAGTTGTCCTTGAGATCGTCCTAGACGCCCTCGAGGTTGTCCTAGGCGTCGTCCTTGAGGTCGTCCTAGATGTGAAGCTAACAGCTTCGCTGGTCCTCCCTCTTCACGTGAAGTGGAAGGGCTCTACGATTTTTTCAACCTCTTCCTTAGCTTTCCTCCTTACCTCACAAGTGAAATGAGAAATCAGGTGGTCGCAGGGGCGGATCCTAGGGGCGACGGGGGCGACCGCCCCCCCCCCCCCCCCCCCCCCCAAACAGAGTCGACCCCCACCCCTCCTCTCTGCTCGGGGGTCAATTTGACATGGGTGGACCCCCTGGTGTACAAGAAAGGGGATACGGCCCATTCGTCACATGTCGATTCGTCATAGGGCAACTGGTAACAGGCCCGTTCGTCACGGCGGAACATTGGTCATAGGGTGATTCGTCACGCTGGCAGTTCGTCACACAATAACTTCAAGATTGTTAAACGTTTTTGTTTTCTATCTTGTTTTCTTAGGAAAGTTACGAAAGGGGGCCGCTTAATTAAATCCGTACAAGGCCAGTGAGGTTGACTACGGGAAACAAAAGCATGTCCCAATGACCCCACCCAAGTTAAGGCAGCATGCAGCCTTTAGCCTGCATGTTGTCTTATCGGGGTCACCTTTCTTACAGAAGAACTTCGAGAACATAAAGTTCACAATAGAAAAAAAACCACCAAACGCGATTCTTTTTTTTTTTTTTTTTTTTTTTTGTGCTTCGTTTCAGGGTTTATTATGCCGGTTGCCCTCCGGTTATAAATATATCACTCTCGATTTCTAAATGGAGGCAGTTACTACTAAGAGATTTGGCGATATGCTTCGAGGATGTCCAAGAAGCATGACGACAGCAACCGGCATCTTCAAATCATTGTGAGCCGCTACAATGGTCGCAATCGTCTAGAAACCATGAGGTGGCAGCTCGAAATATCGCTTGTTAGTTTTTTTTTTTTTTTTTTCGCTTAATAAATTTGTTGTTTTTTAAGGACAACGATGACTTGTTTGGATGTTCCCTCTCTTTAGTAAAATTAAATATACCGTACTAATCTTTATTGCATGCTCAGCCAGGTGAATATACGTTGGGCAAATTCAAATATCCGGTTCGCACAGTGACAAACGTTCCTAGGGACAAATTCTCCTATGACGAATGTTCCGCTGTGACGAACGGGCCTATTACCAGTTGGCCTATGACAAATGCGCACATGACGAACGGGCCTACACCCACAAGAAAGAATGGGAGAATAGTATCCTTACAAACTTTCCGCCCCCCCCCCCCCCCCCCCCCAAAAAAAAAGGAGTTCTGTAACCGCCCCTGGGTGGTCGTGCCGTGCTATTTCAAAAGGCGAGGATATACCGTTAGCAGTTTAATAAGAAGGAAAGGATCGAGCAACTCCCCTCTTGCTTGGGCCCTCCTTTGTTGACCCGCAAGTCGTCGCCATTCTTCCCTCGAAAGAAGATTAGCCCGTCACTCAAAATTAGAACAGTTACTTTTCTCCCTCCCGCTCGCGACTCCAACTGTCTAGTTTACGTGGCTTGCACGTGACGTCGCTCAAAGAGCGCTACGATTACCACCAGAGAAGAGGAGGAGAAGGAGCTCCCCTCTTACCAGGATCCTCTTCTGTGCCTTCCGGATTTGCACAGACATCGCTATTTTCCTCCAAGAACATTATAGAAGATTGTACCCGTCACTCAAAATTCTTAAAAAAGCAACTTCCCTCTTGCCTCTTCTGTTACACGGGGGGTATTCACACGAGGGAGAAATGCCTGGGATATCTCCCCGGCGCGCGCGCATCACGAGACGAAAACGCGAGGCTTTTTTTTTTCGTCGCGGGATGCGCGTGCGGTGGAGAAATCCCCGGGATTTCTTCCTCGTGTGAATACCCCCCTTTGCTCCATTTTCGCGCTCGAGGGGTATAGATTTCTGCTTTTATTTTGTCGCATAGTATCAGTAGGAAAACAACTTTAGCGGAAAATGGTGAGTACTGTTCGGTGTTTCAGTGAAGATTGAATCGTGCTACAAGCGTACGGGCCTAAATTTAAGCAATCACTTGTGTGTATCAGGGGAGGGGGGGGGGGGGGTCGACAGGGGCGACCGCCCCCCCCCCCCCCCCCCCCAAACAAAGTCGACCCCCCCCTCCCCCCTTCTCGGAGGGCGATTTGACATGGGCGGACCCCCCGGTGCACAAGAAATGGGAGAATAGTATCCTTAAAAATTCCCCCCCCCCCCTCTCTCTCTCCCCCCCCCCCCCAAAACGGAGTTCTGGATCCGCCTTTGGTATGTATGCGTTGTCTGCTCTAGGCAGACGTTGGGATGCCTGTCTCCAGATGAACTGCACTATTTATGTCAAATATTTGTTTCTTTTAAAAGAGGTGCATCGGTTACCAGCGTGGGAATTCAACAAAAACAATAAATTCTAACCCGGATAGCATAACAGTGGTACTGTGGGCTATCGCGGGTTCCATGCATTTTTGTGTTTCTAACTTTTAGCTTTTTGGAGTAATCTAAATATTTAGCACGAAGTTAATGCTATATTGAAAACAGTCATGCAATTTAGTTCCGCTGCAGCCAATGTTTCCCTTTACTGTGCCATGGTGTGGGAAGTTTTTCAGAGTGGAACAATTCTGCTACGTTGCGATGAGGTGGAGCAGTGATTTCCATCCACACCCCCTGGGGGGGGTGGGAGGGGGGTTACATTCATTCTCAATGCCCCCCCCCCCCCTAAAAATTTAGACACCACCTCCCTAATTTTAATTCCTGGGAAAACCCCTGGATTAGAGTGCTTTTATAGTTACGATCCTAAAACTGTTTGTTGACAGGACAACTGAGACAAGTGAAGCAAACTATTATAATATATCTGCCGCAAGTGGAACAAACGAGAGTAACAAAGCAACGCAGTAGAGTGCGTGTTATCAGATGCTGTTCTTGGTAATGTGGGTTCACCCGCTTCAATTTTCTCGGTGAAGGCCGCGGATGTCAAGAGGCTAATATTATAAATTTTGGGCTAAATAATCTTATATTCAAACATAGCAGACTCTGCAACTGCAACAAAGAACCTGCACCATGACACAGACGGCATCGGCTGCAGCGACACTTTTTTACTGATGAGGGCTAGCGACTCTCACGAGACTATCCGATCACCCTCCACTCTCACCTAACGCATCTCAAGATTGGGCCGCTCATCGATTAACCTTCAGATTATTTAAGTGATGCTTTAATTGCGATACTTCTTTTTGCAGTGTAATTAGAACCTTGTCCTGGAGAAATTCAAGAAAAAGTAAAAGTTGCCTGCTTTAGACGTATTTATTTATCTCGGGACACAGGCTTGCACGGTAACCACATCAGCATGCTTGTGATTGTCATCGATGAGATTATACTGTTTAAATAATACCTTAAAAATTGCTTCACTTTAAAAGGCTTCCCGTGC